AAGAGCCTTCCAGGATTCGGGAGGGAGGCCCCTTTTTGTCCTGTGGGCAGGCCAGGGTGTGCCACAGGAGCTTTTCACAGGAGGGGAACTGATCAGAATTGAATTTTAGAAAGATCATGTAGACAGGATCCCTTTGGTGGCAAGTGACAGAAATGCAACTCAGAGTGACTAAAGCAAATAAAAGAGTAATTTGTTGACATATTAAATAGAAAGTCTAGTTGTGTTGGCTTCAGGTACAGGGAACTTGGAGTTCAAAGATGTCACCATGACTTGGCCTCTCTCCTTCCAGCCCTAAGGTTTTTTCCTCTGAATTGGATTCACTCTCAAGGTAGGCTCCAGAAACTCTGGAGCTTCTATCTCTTAGTGCTTCCATTTCAGAGAAAATGCAGTCCTCTTTGCTGAGGGGTCCAGTAAGAGCTCCAGGGAGAGCTTGGGTCATGTGCCCATTCAGCTGGGGGTCAGGGGGCTGTGGTGCCAATTGGTTCAGTATAGCTTACTGCCCTCTGCTTGGATTGGAGTGGGGCTGACAAAAGTGGGTCTGCCATAGCCAGACAGGTGGAGCAGGCTAGGACTTGGGCCTGTGCTTGTGCCCAACACTCCACTGGTAGCTCCCAGGCTGGGGGGGAAGGGGGGAGCATAGGAAGATGGCCTGATATGCGGACAGGCACATGCTTGATTAGAGGGACAGTTGGGGACTGTTCATAGGAGGGGTAGGGAGAGGGCTTCAAGGAAGGGGAGGCAGGTGCTTTGGATCTAGAAGGGTGATAGGCATTTACCTGGCACAGCTGTGTTGGTAGTAGTTGCCACTATGGCACACATGTCATGCCAGACCCCAGGCCCCAGTTCTCCTTCTGGGATGTGGCTTTCAAGGACTAGCCTGGGCTTGTCTGACGTGCATCCTTCAGAAAGGCATCCTCTTCGGTCGTTCTTTCTGTCCTCCCAGCTACGAGTTGACTTCAAATTTCAGCAGCTCAGAGCTCACGTTGCCATGCCAACCCTGCCCCGGCAGGCATCCAGGCAGAAATGGGCCGGCCCCATCTCGGGGCTGCCAGCCGATGTGAGCACATTCCGGTAATTGGATTGGAGCAATCCTCTCGGCCTTTCCTGCGGAAACCTGGGGCTTAGCCCAGCTCCTGCTAGACATGAGCCTGTGGACACAAAGAGGATGGGAGGAGGTCCCTCTGCTCCAGGACTCCCAGCCCTGCTTCTCAGTAGAAGGCTCAGCAGGCATGAGGACCAGATGGAAGGGCCATGAAGGAGGGACAGGCCCCATCCTAGCCTCACATGAGGAAGCACGTGACCCTCATCAACTTCTCAGAAGTTCCCCAAGGCTCAGATGTCCCAAAAGATGATGCAGGCTTCCTTAGAGGGGCCAGGGTTTGCCTTTGCCAGCAGAACTGAGACTTTGCTCACTTTCACTGTAGAAGAAATTCAAATTCAAGTCAGCACCCACTGAGGACCCTTTAGCCTCTGCAGCAGGTCTTATGGACTAGCATGCATGCCACATCCATTTCCCAGGGAGATGGGAAGAGGAATGGCTGTCTTGGTGCCAGTGTCATTTGGCACCAATAGAGGTCCTGTCCACTGCAGCTTGCCACAAAGGTTGTTGGGGACCCACCCTTCCCTCCATCTTCAACACGCAAACAGGACCACACCTGGCCAGGCCCCATTCCTGAGGATGCCCTCCCCAGGGGATGGCAGAGCAGCTGGCCCTGGAGCCCTCAAGATAGTGTATAGTGGGGAGGGGCTTTGGCCTCTGAGCAGTCCAAGACCCCCCTCCTCATGCTGTGGTGGCTGTAGGCCACAGGTTAGCAACAAGGTGTCTCAGTGTTGACAGGTCATCAGTAAACCACAGGAGCAACTGTGGTGTGGAGCTGCTTGCTGTCAACGCCCCATGCCTGCCCCGGAGTGGCTGGGCCTATGACCTCCCAGGCTCTGGCCAGGACTTGACCAAGCACTCTTCCTCTCTCTTCTAGATCTAGGGTGAGCTGGGCTCCCAAACCTCCCTGGGCCAGTTCCCCTTCCACCTGTGTCAACCTGCAAACTATGGTGCTCTCAGCTCCATCTGTCTGTCCTAGCTCCACGGCCCAGTCTCCTTGTCACAATCAGGCCCAGTTTGTCCTCAGTGCAGGGAGAAAGACAAGTTAGTGAAAGTCATGGGCTCCAACCTAAACAGAGTGGACAGCCTCTCTGAGGACCTGAAGGCCCTTCGAGTTAGTCAGGGACCTGGGAATTCAGCAGGTGGGCTCAGGCTGCCCCCAGAACGGTGCACAGACCAGCTTGTACTTCCTTCAAACTCCATTGCATCCATAGGCTGGAGAGCAAACAGGGTACACAGGGGCCATCTTCAGGGGAAGAAAGGTCAAGGTGTTGAGGCGTGGGGGATAAGGAAGGAAACAGGGCCAGCCATCTTAGTGGCCTGTCCAGCTTTCATCCTCATGATAGCGTGAGAGCCCTGGGAGAGGGGATTGCCACTCCCATGCCATAGACCATGAGACAAAGGCTCAGCAAGCCTGACTCCAGTGCCAGGGCTTCATTCAGGTCAGCCTGAGCCCGGAGCCCAAGCTGAGCAAGGAGCAATGGGGCAGGGGGGAATCTGGGGTCTCTACTTGTAGAACAGAGAGGTTGCCCTCCCTTGGGGCACTGTATAGCCCCCCACACTGACCTCAGGGCTCAGGAGTGACCATGAGTACTTGAGGGTATCTGGGGCTCCAGCCCAGCTCTAGAGACCATGGTGTTGGGGCCGAAGGCATTCTGAGCAATCCTGGAAGACACACACCAGGATTCACAGGCACTAAACCTAGCAGTAATTGTTGGCTTTAAAACAGGGACCTGAAAGAGCCACCTGGCCTGTGATAGCTCAGCACCATGGCCTTCAAGGGACGTATCAGCCCCATCAGATACCCATGGTGGGCTTTGCTCGGCAAAGGTGCCAGCCCCAGGACATGGAAGCAGAGGACCAAAGCGTAGGGGAGAGGAAAGTGTTCTTCCGGAGACAGAGCCTAGGCTGGGCCACCCACAATGTCCCACCAGACCAAAGGGCACAAGCAAGAGAAAGAGCCCAGACAGGGGGTGCAGGCTGGGTGCCTATGTGCCCGCATCCTGCCCTGACACCCCTGTGAGGACGCCAGGGTTCACTGAGAAGTTGCCAGCCTCCAATATTTAACTCTCACTCTCCTCTTTCATGGGAAAAGTGTAGATCAGACTAATTAATGTGTTGTTGTTTGTTTACCCTCCTTTCATTTCACTGAGACAAAATAATTAACCACAGAGCTTTAGAAACCAGCTCCATTGGTGGCAGTCCCTTTTGTGTCAGCTGCATCAGCAGCTTCTGGGCGTACACGCAGGGGCTGCCGGTGGGAGCAAGGCAGGCTGGCAGCACCTGGAAGCTCCTTCTGGCCAGGGCACTGCTGAAGGGTGGCAGGGGAGGGGCTCTGGACAGGGGGACCCAGGGCAGCCGCGAAGGGCTAGGATGGCAGGCAGGAAGGGCTGGGATGCTCGGATCTGCTACATCTTAGAGGACTGCCATGGTGGCCACTACTGCCTGTTGGGCCCTGGGCCACCTAAACCCAATGATACCTGAGTGGGGACCACAAACATTCCTATGGCCAGCCCAGGAGAGCCAGAAAAATCAGGCCTGGCCACTCACTGCCACTGCAGGCAAGGCTGGGGAGGACGCTTCCCCAGAAGGGTTTCTAGGGCCACAGCAGGAGTGAGGACACAGGGCACCTGAATAGGAGACACCTCCCCACCCCACCCAGTCCTGTCCCAGCTAATACCAAATGCCAGCCCTGACTAGCCAGTGCTGGGGATGAGCCACACAGGAGAACAGAAGGGACTTTCTCTCAGGAAGCCTTTTACAAAGTGAGGCCACATTCACCTCAACCCATCAGATCTCCAGCAATCCTGAGGACCACAGGCCAGCTCTGCTTGTGGGGCAGCATGGCATAGACAGAACAGACCCTCTCCTCCTCCCCACTCCTTCCAGAACTGTCCTCACAGCCAGGGCCCAACCAAGCCTGAGTCCTGACACAATGTGACAGTGCCCCTCGGGGCAAACAACCCCACTGGGTTCCACCTTCCCAGCCAGGATGGATGGCTACATGGACAGATCCCTCCTCCCTCAAAGGAGCCAGGGCAGAAGTTGGGCTGGGTCATGAGACAGTGAGCAGGAAATCACCCCCCAGCTGATGTGGTGGTGAAAACTCTGGATTAGGCTCCTACAAGCTTCACCACAGCCTGATCACTATGTGTCCCCAGAGGCTGGGTAAACACTCCACATTCTTGTCTTTATAGATTCTACATTCAGCACAATAAGTGCACCTGGCAGCCTCTGCTGGGCAGAGCCCGGGGGCCTGCTCTGAGACTAGGACGGGAGGTGCACTCATTCTGGCAGCTCTGGGCCTCTGCTAGGCCCTGGAGCTGCATCTTGGGAGTTTAGGGGAGAAGCTTGGGCCAGACCCTCAAAGCCCCAGGGAGCTTCTCCAAAGTTGCAGGGACTATCAAGGTCCCTTGTAACTGGGCAATTCTGATCGTTCTGGATGTTAGTAAGGTCCAGGCTGTGCCTGGATTCCCATCAGGTGGGGATTTTTGCTGGAGGTCAGCAGGAGTGAAACTGCAGAAGTGGTTCAATGCTGCAGGCTGGGTATAGTGAGAGCCTGGTTGTGGGGGAGCCTTCTCGGAGGTCCTGCCAGCCACACTACCCTCCACCCCAGGACTCTCTGGCCATTTTTCTCTGCGGTTTGTTCCCTTTTCATTCTGACCTGCTGCCCTAAAATGAATAAACCCCCTTATCTCTGTCTTACAGGCTCTCCAGCAGGCCTTGGGGGCCTAGCATGGCCCACCGAGGTGAACCATGACTGGCTGGCTAACACCCGCCACCAATCATCCAGAGTCACATCTCACCAGGAGGTGACCCCTCCTCCAGCTACCCCCCTCACCGACCCCACCCAGGAGCGTGCCTGCGCTGCCACAGACACCATGTAGTAGGGCCGGCCGCGGCACCCAGTGAGCTGCGATGGTTTTGTACACGACCCCCTTTTCCAATAGCTGTCTGTCTGCCCTGCACGCCGTGTCCTGGGCCCTCATCTTCCCATGCTACTGCATGCTGGACCGGTTCCTGGCCTTGTTCATACCTGCCCCCTATCAGAAGAACCAGCTACTCTGCATTGTGATTTTCATGCCCATCTACCTGGGCCTCCTGGTCACCTCGCTGCCCTTTGCATTTCTTGGGTTTCTCCTCTGGTGCCCCCTGCAGTGTTCCCGCAGGCCCTACGTCTACTCTTGGCTGGAAGACAAGGGTCCGACTGGTGGGGCAGCCCTCCTCAGTGAATGGAAGGGTACAGGTCCTGGCAAAAGCTTCTGCTTCGCCACTGCCAATGTCTGCCTCCTCCCCGACTGGTTGGCCAGGCACAACAACGTTTTTAACACCCAAGCACGGGCCAAAGAGATTGGGCACAGAATCCGCAATGGAGCCAGCCGGCCCCAGATCAAAATCTACATTGATTCGCCCACCAATACCTCCATCAGTGCAGCCAGCTTCAGCAGCCTAGTGTCACCGCAGGGTGATGGTGTGGCCCGGGCTGTCCCTGGGAGCATTAAGAGGACGTCCTCTGTGGACTACAAGGGCAATGGTGGGCGTCACCCCAGTGATGAGGCTGCCAATGGCCTGGCTTCTGGGGACCCAGTTGACTGTAGTAGCCTTGAGAATGCCTGCATTGTGCGCATCAGTGGAGACGAGGGGGGCCGGCACCCCGAAGCTGATGACCCTGCCACTGGGGGCCAGGCGAAGAATGGGGCTAGTGGGGGCCCACGGGGCCAGACACCCAACCACAGCCAGCGGGATGGGGACTCAGGGAGCCTGGGCAGCCCGTCTGCTTCAAGGGAGTCCCTGGTGAAGGCAAGAGCTGGGTTGGACGGCGGCAGTGGGGAGCCAGGTGCCACCTACAGCAAGGCCCCGCACAAGGCCTCGGTGGTAAAGAAGGCAGCCGCACGCAAGAGGCGGCACCCAGATGAGGCCTTTGACCATGAGATCTCGGCCTTTTTCCCTGCCAACTTGGACTTCCTGTGTCTGCAAGAGGTGTTTGACAAGCAGGCAGCCACCAAGTTGAAAAACCAGCTGCATGGCTACTTCGAGTACATCCTGTATGATGTCGGGGTCTATGGCTGTCAAGGCTGCTGCTGTTGCCACCGAGACCGCTGTTGCTTCAAGTGTTTGAACAGTGGCCTCTTCTTTGCCAGCCGCTACCCCATCATGGACGTGGCCTATCACTGTTACCCCAACGGGAAGGGCACCGACGGCCTAGCCTCGAAGGGAGCACTGTTTCTCAAGGTAGGAGGCCTGTGCACACGCCAGCCGGTCCCAGAACCATGTGGGGGGTGGGCTGCAGCCCAGGGGTCCTCACCCTGTGGGAGGTCTCTGGGCAGATGAGGTCTTTCATGGAGCTGAACCAGAGGGCCCCCAACTCAGGGAACAGGGAAACAAGAATGCAGGGACAAGAGTTGAGGCTCCAATATTGGGCCTGGCTAGGTGATCTTGGGCAAGTTCCTCAGATCTCTGAGCCACCATTTCCCCATCTGTAAAGTGGGGGCAACATGGAGCCTACTCACAGTGTGGGGAGTGAGTGGGGAGGCTGGGAGGTTCTCCTGGTGCTGGCGGTGAAGGTGGCTGGGCGACGATGGCATAGCGGTGGTAGTGGGGAGGAGAGTGCCGCTATCTGTAACAAAGTAGACATTCACAAAACAGAAGACCAACAAAAACCAATGGTTACAGGTCCTGGGCCCATTACCACACCAGCCTCACTGGTCAGGACACCGTCTCCCCCCTGGCTGTCACACAGCTGCCATGCCAGGCTCTCTGCCCACTAGCCCAAGGCTTCGCTTCCATAGTCACTAATTAAAGTGAATCATAATTATTTCTGCTAATTTGGATGCAATTGGAGGAGTTTTTAGACCATGGTAATTTGGTCATTATGCATTATCTTCTACTGAGCCTGACACGCTCAGAGTCGACTTCTTGTTCTCTGTCCAAAAGCCACTCTCGGTGCTTCCAGAGTTTTCTGAAGCATTGTTTGGCCAGCACATACAGAACAGGACTTCCTGCCCCCAGAAGCAGCAGCTGCTGGGGGTATGGGCTCAGTCCATATGTCCCTCAAGACTCCTCAGTTCCCCCTAGAAGGGCGTCTGTGAGGGCAGGCAGGGGTACCTAGTGTGGCCAATGTGGAAGCTCAGAGTCGGAGGCTCTTATCCCCCAGGCCTCAGCTCTGACTGTGCTCCGCCTGCCCAGGAAAGTGCTCTGTGTCAGCCAAGCACCTGTCAGCATGGAGACTGCTGGAGCCAAGGCCAGCACTGCAGGACCCAGGCCCCCACCCCAGGTGCTCAGTGGCTCTTGTGTGGCTCAGCAGGCCCAGAGTTGGAGTCCTTGGCTCTCCAGTCACAGCTTGAGATGCTGAAATTGAATGCACTCCTCTAACAGGAGAGCCAACCTTCCCATTTTGGCATATGGTTCATCAATGTTCTCTTTCATGGATGTATTTTCATCTCTGACTTTCTGGGGAAGGAGAGGACATGTTATCAGGTTTGGGGAAAGGGAGGAGCAAACCTTCTCCCTCTCACCTGCCCTACTACAGGTGGCTCAGAGGCCAGGGAACCCCTTGATCCTGCCACCAGCTCACACATCCCCTCGTCATCTCCCTCCTTGGCCTGGCACCTCAATCACCATGCCCACCAGCGCCACACAGGGTCCTGGAGACAGCCCCCCCACTGCCGGCTTTCCTTCCACCTCTCTGGCCATTTCTTCTAGGCTCCTTGTTGCCTGTCCATCCATTAAATGTTCCCTCTACCTCCTGGATTTAAAACTGGTCTGCAGATATGTTCAATTTGGATTATACCATTAAAATATTTCTTGTCTTGTCCAACATTTAAAAATCAAGATATTTCACATAAAACCCAGTTTGCAACTCTCTCCCGACCTGGGCAGATCTGGCAGCACTTCTGCCCAGCTCTCAGCCTGAGCAGTCCCCACAGCAGGGTGGCTCCAGGTGGCCAGGGCTCTTCATTTCCAAGTGATCACCATGACCAGCCCATGCATCTGCCCTAGGAAAGTGACTCCACAGCCCCCATTTCCACATTTGCTGAGGGGTCTCATGTTTGTCCCAGTCCAGATCTCTCCCCTCAGCCCCCAGCTCTGTGTCTGGCTGCCCCTGGACACAGTCCCATTTACTCCTGAGTGGAATTCGTCATCAACCCTGGTCCCACCCCTCCCCCAGGTTCTACCATCCTTCAGCCAGAAGGGCACACCTTGACCCCTCTCTGTGCCCTGAGCCCATCCAATCCATCCAGACAACTCATTTCACTTCCCAGATACCTCTGGACACCCCACCCCACCCCCATGTTTCCAGCTGAACTGTCACGGCCACCATTCCTCTGTCTCCACTCAACTGTTTTTGGCTGTCCTCCCCCTTCCAATCCATCCTCACCCTGTCCCAGGCCTGGCTCCTGCAATCCCCTTCCCACTGCCTCCGGGAGAAGCCCAGCCTTCACTGGGCCCCTCCACCCTCACTTAGGCTCTGCTCTACACAGCTCTTCTTATCATGGTCCCCCCCCGGGTTGGCCTCACCATCTCTGTGAAGCTTTCCTCAACAGCTGTTCACACAAGTCATCCTCCCCTTCTTGGGTTCCTCAGCATTTGTCCCCAGCAGTCTTGTCGACTGTCCCTCCCATCAGACAGAATCCATTCAGAGTAGAGCCGGTGGTGCCCAGCACACAACAGACCCAGCTCATTTCTGTTGCCAAGAGTGAGCCTGTTTCTCCTGCATAGAGAAATGAAACAAATGGGGTTTCAGGAGACAGGCTAGCTCCAGGAAGAGGGCCCAGGGTTGGAAAAGTGCTGCCCTGGCTGTGCATGGAAGCCAGTGCCCTCTTTGTTGGCAGGGCTCCCCTGTCCAGCCCTGTCCTCCTGATTGACCCAGTGGCATTTCCGATCCTTTAGGACAGTGTGCTCTCCTGCTACTGTGAGGGTCTGAAAAGGAAGGGACTGGACTTGTTTTTGCCTCACCAATGAGAAAGCCTGACTCTGGACCCCTCTCTATTGACAGTCTTTGCCCACCAGGATTAAGAGGCAAAACCTCTCAGTATGATTGTTTGTTTTTACTAGAGAAACACAAGCCTGTGCAGTTCCTGAGGACTCGAGCCAGAAATCAATAAGTCCCCTCACATAATCAAGTGGATCTCAGCGTGCTCACAGGCTGACTGAGCGGGGAAGTGGGTGAGGAGCTGAGACACCTGGCAGAAGGGCTGAGGGAAAGGAAGGATGGCGTTGGCCTGTATCCCTTTGGCCCATGTCTCCTCAGTGGCAGGGTTGAGTGGTGCTTCTCTGCACCTGTCCCATCCCTGCCCAGGACTCAGCACAGGTAAATGACACTAAGTGCTGAGGAAGTAAGGGGATGACACTCTAAGATCATCAAACAAGCAGCTGGTAAAAAGCCTGGCTAAGTCACCAGGAGCTCAGAAAGCAGTGCAGAGATCACGGAGAAACTGAGAGGGGACAGCAAACTGATTTGAACTGGCCTCAGCCATCAGAGCCTCATGACCCTGGCCACTTACAGTATAATTTTAGTATAATACTCACAGATGTAAGGCTCTAGCAAGGCAACGTCCATGAAGCACTAAGCAGGGGTGCTCACAGCAGGATATTATTATTGAAGTGGGAACAGAGGCATTCATTGCTCAAGGAACACAGGGGCGAGCGCGCCATCGTGTGGCCTTGCAGGGCCATTGTGGTTTTAAAACATGTTTTTGCAACAGGGCACATCAGTGGTGTGTGATTTCTTGAGCTGTTTCAGAAGCACAGGGAATATTAGACTCAGGTTTGGATCTGGAATACAGGCAAGAAGTGAACATTGAACATGTGAGTTTATAAACAGCCCCAAATCCAGGCCGTATAGCCCATTATTAAGTAACCAGGCATGCATCCCCCCAGGGCCCTGGGAAAGGAGAGATTTGCACCCACCTGGCTGGGAAAGGGGATGAGGTGCCGCGGAAAGCTAAGGGTGTCCATTAATCTCCATAAGAGGAGATTAATGCCAACCTGACTTTGACAGCAAAGATGAAATCTGAGAGCTTGGGGGCTCTCAGATTAGAGGACCTGTGGTGTGGTGGCGGTAGAGGCAAGTTCAGGCCACCCTGAGCTGGAGTGTGGGCGGGTTGTGCTTGGTACATGGCAGGTGCACCCCCCTGCTGCTGCATAACCTACAGACCTGGCCTCTATGGCGTCCAGGGCCCAGGGTCCAGGGTCTCATCAACATAGAAAACCCAGTCTGGAACGGACTGATGAACTTTGTGGAAGGCAGCTGAAGCTCAGGGGGGAGGAAAGGCCAGAGGGGAAGAGAATGAGGCAACCAGAGGCCTCTGGGCAGTGGCCCATGGACGGTCCGGCGAGCATGCCTGGGAGGGAGTCTCCCGTTTCAGCCTTCAGCAGCTGTGCTGTGGCGGGGGCCCAAGAGAGACAGCAGGCTGGGTCGCCCTCCCTCACCTCTACCCACACCCTCTAACGAGGGCTCAGGCTTGCATCAGTGTCACCACTGGGGGCCATTTTAAGTTGTCTCTGATGTACGATTGGGGTGTTTGTTTTCATTACACTAACCTGTGGAGACAGTCTGCCAGGGTCATCTGCGGTTGGGCACAGAGTCAGGGAGGTACTCCCGGCCCTTCTCCACCCCTGGGAACTCCATCTCTCATGAAAGAGGTGAACAGGAGGTGAGGACTGAGGTCTGGGGGGAATGGAGCATGAAGAGGCCACTGTGGAAGGAGGGCTGGGTTTGGAATGGAGGCTGTGGGGTACCTGGGGCCAGCCCATGACACAGGTGCCACAGAGACACAGGACACAATTATTCTTCTAGATCAGAGGACTAAGAGCAGATGACGTGACTTCTCATGAAGCCAGAGGGGCAGAGGCTAGGGAGAAAGAGCAGAAAGCAGGATCCGAGGTCTCTGGAGAGAGGGTGTCAGCTTTGTGGCTGAGCCAAATCTCCAAGGAAGCCTGACTTAGACTTCAGAAGGATGGGCTGTGGGGTGTGATCAGATCTAGGGTATGACTAAGGGAAAGAGGAAAGAGCCACCACACAGGAGCGAACAGAGAACTGAGAGGCTGGTGTGCTTGGTCACCAGGGCATGGCAGGGGTTAGGGTTGGAAATCTGTGATTATTTCTGCATCTGTCCTGTAAGGCCTTACATGAATGGCCTGGTGGCACTCACCATGCTATAGGCTGCCATTTCTTTACGCATCTGCCTCTTGCACTACACCAGAAGCTCCTGGGAGCAGGACATGTGCTGTTCCTACCTGGGCCCAGGTCTAGTCAGAAGCCGGAAGAGCTAGGCCAGTAAGGATCTTACCTGGTAGGAGGTGGGTGTTGCCGGTGTCCCTTTGCACTCAGAGCAATGACTACTTACAAACTTCTTCACCCACTCCTCGCCTCCTGCTCCACAGGTGCAGGTGGGAAGCACACCTCAGGACCAAAGAATTGTCGGGTACATCACCTGCACACACCTGCACGCCCTGGAAGGTAGGGTCTGGTGGCCAGCGCTTTTCTGGGGGTGGGGGATCTTTCCCCAGCAGACTGGGATCAGTCAGGGCCCTGCTGGGGTCAGGCCGCAGCTTCATCATTTGGTCTCTGTGCTTCTGCTCTGCAGAAGACAGCGCCATCCGGTGTGAGCAGCTGGACATGCTTCTGGAATGGCTGGCTGATTTCCGAAAATCTACCTCCTCGTCTAGCACAGCCAACCCTGAGGAGCTGGTGGCGTTTGACATTGTTTGTGGAGATTTGAACTTTGACAACTGCTCCTCTGGTGAGGCTAGGTTCCTCCCTATTCGGGTTACCTACTGGGGGAGGGCGTGGGCTCGTCACAGCTAGCAACACTGAAGTTAGGCAGCTTCAAGAACTTCCTGCTCCTTGTGAGCATGTGGGTGGGGTATTAGCAAAACTATCATTTCTCTGCCCCCTAGAAATCCTAGAGTGAGAAGCACCCACGCTCTGCCTAGAAAGCTCAGAGGCCTCCCTTGCTGGAGACAAAAAGATGCCCTAAAAAACGAACCTATGAAGGGAAGGCTTGGAGCCTCTGAAACTCAGACTAAAGACGAACCAGCTAATACCACTCACCAAGTCTTTATTCAGCTCTTACTTAGCACCAGGCACAACTCTAATGGCTGTTCATGGGCCAGCTATGTCATTTAAGTCTTATAACAACCCCAAGAGTGGGCACTAACTAACTAATCTGTGAATCAGGTGATCATGCTCATCCCAGGGATCTCCTGGGAGTTTGAGCAACTGAGCCTACCCCCTGCCCATGGCTCCTGGGCACCTTCCACTCTGGCTACAGCCCCAGCAGAAACAGGATTGGTAGGTGACATGGCCCTAACCTACTCAAGGAAGACAGAAAACCTGAAGGTCCCACCTGGAGCACAGGATGATGTCCTGACCTGGTGACAGCTGTTTCTATCTATTCACGGCCAGGGAGGCATCCCTTGATAACTCAAGGGTTTGTGGGAAGAAAAGTGCCCACCATGGAACACACATCCCCCCTACTGCAGCCCTGTGGCCCCTCACTGTCACATGCCTGATGCCAGCTCCAAATGCTGGGTGCTCCTAGGATCTTCCTGAGTCGGGTTGGGGACACAGCACATGCAAGAAGAGGCTGTTGGGAAGGGTTCCATCTAGTCAGGCTCTACTCAGTGACCTGTCCTTCCTCCTTGGGGTCTCAGAAAGGCCCTTCTGGCTTCATGAGTTAGCAGAACAAACTGGAACCCAGGGTGGGTCACCTCCTTCTCTGAGCCTTGTGGAACCACTCCTGACTCAGCTTGGACACCCAGGTCAGAGAAGGGCAAGCGTCCCAGCTGAGGCAGCATCAGCCAGCCCCCACACCCCACCCAGGTTCTGCCACATGACCTGGGAAGGCCTCAAGATCACTGTCCCCTGCAGCCCAAGAGGAACAGTGACTTCTGTCCTCAGACCAAGGGAAAGCTGAATACTACAGGGGAGAGCAGGAGGTTGGGGGGGTGCAATTCTCAAGGACACATAAAACCAGTGACAAATGAACCATAGACCCCACCCAGAGGGATACCTGAGGGACAGGGACCTGGTGGCATCTGGACCAGGACCAGAGGCAGGCAGCCCTCCAGGACAGGCCAGACACGGAGACCCCCAGCATTGCCTCTCTCCCTCCCTGCACAGATGACAAGCTGGAGCAGCAGCACTCCCTGTTTACATGCTACAAGGACCCCTGCCGCCTGGGGCCTGGGGAGGAGAAGCCATGGGCAATTGGTGAGCTGGGGATGCGGGGAGAGGGGAACCGGGCAGGGGAGGGGCGCTGCCAAGTTCTGAGCCCAACATGCTGAGACCTGACACTGCACCAAGGCTGGGCTCCCACAGGCTTCCCAGAGGAACCTCCAGGATTTGCTCTCAATACCCCAGTGCTGGGGGAGTTGGGATACCCAGGCCAGCAGATGCCTGAGCCTGCCCCGTCCTGCCCCAGGGAGGCAGCCCTCCTTGAGGCTGGCTGGGTCCTACCTTCAGTGACTGCTCTCACCCCCTCGTCACCAGGTACCATGCTGGACCAGGATGGCCTCAACGATGAGGACGTGAGCACCCCTGACAATCTACAAAAGTAAGCACCTAGCTGTGGTGGGCAGGCAGCTCCCAGTTCTGGGCTGAGCACCCAGCCCTGACTCAGATGTGGGGAGACGGCTATATACAGGGCAGAGGAGAGAACACAGATCCATGAGAGTGTCAGGGACAGAAGCTGGGGGCGGGTGGAAGCCCTGGAGGCCCTCTTGCCCCAGGGGTTGGCCTTACAAAGAAAAGCCCCCAAGTAGGACTGGGGTCCTGAGGTGGCATTTCCTAGCACCTGCAGTCCTGGCTCACTCTACAAGGGCCTGCCCCAACCGGAGCTCAATCTGCCTTAGGAGCTTGCCTTGTGGCCCTGCCAGGCCCAGGAAAAGGGACCAGAATCTTCCAGGGTGAGGCTGACAGCTGCCAAAGAGCCCTGGGGATGGCACTTGCTCCAGGGAGCCCAGTGGTTGATAGGCACCAATTAGGCAAATAAAAATACAAGCAGAACTAACATAAGCCAGTCATTTTCAAAGTAAAGACAGCTCCATTCCAACCAAATTTCATTCTTGAACCAAATGACACTTCCATAAAGGACACATTTGAGAAGCCAGCAGCAGAACCAATTTATAATTCACAGCCCGAGACTGCACAGAGTCATGGCACTGGCTCCTTGCAGCTAATCTGAGCCAATTAATTAGATTACAGACTAAATTGGAAACATCATCCTATGCCGAGAAAATTATCTTTTTATGAGATGATTAAAAAATGACTATCAGTAACTCTCGGATCACTGATGCTAGAATTAATTATCAAAGGCAAAGGACAGTAATGGATTATATTTCTGAGATGTACCGAAGTTCTGCATTCATTAGTGTATTTATCTCAAGGCTGATAAAGACCTTGTAGAAACCCATGTTTGTTGGCTGGGCCTGTCCAGGCACCCCTTCCACCTGTCCAGGGTCTCTCTGGCTGCTACTCTGCCCTGACATCGGCCTGCACCTGCCCTCTGCGACAGTATTTCATGAAGGCTCCTCCCCACTGGTGCTAAAACTCCATAGGAAAGCTGGCAGGAAGGAGATGGCAGACAGGGAATCAGAAGACCTGGATTCAGGGTGTAACACCCACCTGAGCACCCTGGCCTTCCTACAGAGCTTTGGCCAGCACTTAAGCATCCATGTCAGTTTCCTTCCTCTGAGGAATAGGGTGACAGTCACACCGCTTTCTTTCTTTCTTGGCACGCCTGGTCCCAAAAGTGTCCTGGGGCCCACAGCAATCATTCTTGTATCAGAGGAGGAAATGGAAGCTCAGAGGTTTGACACAGCTGCTCAGGGACAAACTGACACTAGAGTCCAGTCCTGGGATAGGGCCTGGGTGCTCTCCTAGCCCCTACCCCATCCCCTGCTGACTTGAAACAAGAGCCATGGGGTTCTAGGGACTTCCAGAGAAAGGCCCATGAGATTCACGTAAAGACCAAGTTCCCCCAAACAGGACCCTACTGGCTCAGAGAAGAACCCTGTTCTACAGAGGGGACAGGCAGTTCCACCCCCAACTCAGGCACAGTTTCTAGACAGCACAGCGTCCAAGCTATAGCCACAGCCAAAGTCCCAGTTCAGAAAAGGAAAGCAAGTGCTGACCAGCCTAAGGTGGACATGGGACATACCAGGATAGTTTCTGGAATGGCCCAATTCAGTCAGGAACTTGCAGCCTCAGACTTTCCCTCCATCCCAGTCCCTCTTGGGGCCCACAAGGAAGACAGATGTTAAATGCAGGGGTTTGATCTGACCTAATTCTCTTGGGGATCAGAACCTGGCTCCACACTCAGGACCTGGGGCCTGGGGGCTAGGACAGGGACTCACCTTGCCTTCCTGTCTCCTTGAGCAGGGTCTTGGAGAGTGAGGAGGGACGCCGGGAATACCTTGCCTTCCCCACCAGCAAGAGCCCAGGGGCATGCCAGAAGGGACGCAAGGATGTGCTGAAGGGCAACGGCAGGCGCCTCGACTACATGCTGTATGCAGAGGAGGGGCTATGCCCGGACTGGAAGGCTGTGAGTCTGGGGCTGGGCAGCCAGGCCATGCCCATAGATAGGGGACCCTGAGCCCTGCACCCCTCAATGGCACTGAGCTCTCCTCTGAAATGGAGACTTGCCAGTCCAGGAGACCTTTGGGGCCCTCGGGATCCTCCCACCCCTCTGCCCTTAGGAAGACCAGCCAGACCCACCCCTACCCCCAGGCCCCTCCTCTAAATGGTGTCCTTTGGATCTAATCAGGATGCTTCTCTTCCCCCAACCCCAGGAGGTGGAAGAATTCAGTTTTATCACCCAGCTGTCTGGCCTGACAGACCACCTCCCAGTGGCCATGCGGTTGATGGTGTCTACAGGGGAGGAAGAGGCATAGAGCAGCCAAGTTATCAAAGCAGCCTGGCCTCTACAAGCCCTTTGAGCCAAAGCCCCTCTCTGGCCATGTCCCCTCCAGCAGCAGTGCCGGGGAGAGGGCAGAAGCCTGGGGGAGCCGAGGTCATCCCCCGGTGAGCTGGAACCAGCGTTGCCCTGTACCTCTGGGCACTTGCTGCAGACAGAGGAGTCAAGCCGGCCCGAGGAGCCCCAGCTGCCCAACCAGTGCCATTCTTTCAAAACGTGATTTTCTACAAATCTACAGCACAACCTAGTTTGTAACCCATGGGTTAGTATGAGAACCAGGTTTCTGTACTCTTTGTATTTCTTCTCAAGCTTCGTCCAGGATTCATTATTTCTGTCTGCTGCCCTGTTGTCTCGCATGCCTGCACCCTCGCATGCACGCTGCCCGCATGCCACATGCCACGCTGTAGCCACACAGACCCCTCGCTTGGGCCTCACCCAAGGCCAAACTCCAAACACAATCAGAACCAGCCAAAGAAGCATTCCTGGGCACAGGGCCACCAGCTTGCTGCCTCTAGCTGGGTCGGCTCACGAGCAGGGACCGTGAGGACTGTGTCCAGTCACCACGAGCCCGGGCTCTTCCCAGGGTCTTGCATTCAAGGGCGATTACATTTTCAAAAGAAAAACAGGAAAAGTTAAGAACAGAAATAACCCTTCACTTTAGAGGGTCTACAAACCTCGAGGGAGAATGCTGCTCTTCCTGAGACAGGCTCCCTTCCCAGTGTACCAGGGTCCCAGAGACTCCTAAGTGGAGCCACAGACAGGAAGCCGAGGAGAGAGTGCCACTTTTCTATAGGAAGAAGGGAACTCAAAGATAAAGGGGAAAGGGGGCTGATGGTTTTGAAAATGATAGATTTGTAGCTTCTCTTCTGCCAAAACCAACACCTCCTCTTTCTGCCTGATCCCGTCTCCCCTCCAGACACATTTCTGGTTCAGGACCAATCCTTCCCTGGGGACTGTCCCCATCCACATGCTGGCTGAGCTCAGGAACTGTCCACCTGCCTCTGGGTAGAGCTGCAGCTCTGTCCTCCAGACCCACCGTCAAAAGCAATCCCGAGGCCCTGATAGGGGCCAGAGACGAAGGGGTAGGCAGCAAAGTGCAGAGAGCGGCCTGTTCCCCCACCCTCACCAGTGTGCAGGCTGGGGCTGGCAAGGTCAGGGGCCACTGCTTGCACAGGGCAGGAAGTGGTACTGGTTGGCATCCAGGCACAGAGATGCCCACTCTGCCACCATGTGCGCAGGGCCAGCCCCAGGCACCCAGGCACTGCGGCGTGGCAAAGCCTGTAGGTGAGGCCCGCGGCTTGCCACCCCATGGTAGCACTGCCTCTGCCCACCTGCCTTTTTAAACACACCTGGGGACACTCCCTACAGTCTCACAGGGAAGGTTATGTCTATTTCCAGGTGCGAGGCTCCCCTGACTCAGGGGACTGTTCTTGACAACCCCCACTGGTCTCCCCTCCTCGCAGCGCCCTGACCTGTGTCCACCTGATTTGAAGCCAGCTTTGCCCAGCAAGGCTGGGGAGCATACCAGGACCCTTCTGGTGTCGGTGCGCTGATGCTGTGCCTTGTCACCCACTGAGCTGTGAGAGGGACCAAGAGGGGTCCAAGCAGCCAGCTAGAGGTCAGGTCCTGTGCGGGGAGAGGACACTCCTGAGAGCCATACTCAGTGGCATTGGTTTGTCTGAACCCACCTGGCCGGGACAGTTGCAGAGCTGAGGGCTTCAACACTTCCCCAGCCCTGCTCCTGGGGGTCCCAAGCCAAGACAGGCTGCTCACTGCTGAGGGCACAGTCCCACCTGGGCTCTCTGCTGTGCCCCTCCTCCAAGGGCCTGGCTTTCAGGGTCTTAGCCAGGCTTCGTGGAGTCAGGGGGCCCCCTACTCCAAGAAGCAACCAGGAATCTCTGCTCACACAGGCAGGGCCCAAGTGGGCAGACACGATGCCTAGGTGGCAGGGCCTGAGCCAACGCTGCAGGTCGGCTGTGTGCCCAGGAGAGCAGTGGAGACAGGCCAAGGCTCCTGAAGCAGAGAAACTCCACACAGCTTCCAGCCCTCCAAAGGGCTGCCTCCCTCCCAGGGCAGCTGGGTGAGACCCAAGGCGCAGGGGCAAGTGCTTCTCTCCCTCCTCACAGGGCGGCCTTAGGCAAGTCATACCTCCCTGTGCCTCGGTCACTTCCTGTCCTAACAAGGTCACCTCTGCCCAGCCTGGCCCTGGTGTACCGCCTCCCAGCTCCCCTAGCACCTCTCTCTGATGTGGCCTCGGCGCCGAGGCTACCATCGCCCAACCACATGTTTCATAAAGCCTGTGGACTCCCAGGGCCATGCACAAGCCAGACTTTTCCATTTTAATTTTTAAAAAGGAAAGAAAAGAGACATTGCCAGGATCTCATATTCTGTGGTGTTTGGCCTGGGAGGGGCGGACACAGGGGTTGCCCAAATCCCCAACCAAGGTTCTGCACCTGCCCCAGACCCGGCCTCCTCCAGAGAAGCCAGGAGGCAAGGTCAGCTTGGGAAGGAAATGGTCATTTTGATTTGTCCAAACCACCTTAAGTTTTAAGTATGAATATTAATCTTGATGCTTTTTAACTATTGTATTAACTTGCTGAGATTTAGAAATACTGTTTTAAAAAAAAAATTTTTTTTAATTTCTGTATTTTTTTCTGTATTGTATCCTCATGGGACATTAGGGGTTTTATATGGTAAGCACACCTAAGGTTTTGGTAAAAACATTATCAAATATATATCCAGACGATTCTTCCCTAGAAGAAAAACAATCTTTCACCTGATAAAATATTTTGAAAAAAGAGGTGTTTTTCTCCTTTACTGGTGCTGAAAGGAAGGATGGATCACGAGGAGAAAATAAAACTGTGAGGCTCAAAGTTGGTGTTCTCCACTTATTTGAGCGACAAGCTGGGTCTGGGTCCTGCTCGGACTCCAACCCTGTGGCTGGGCGTCCAGGTGGGGCTGTGGGGGAGCTGCTGTGGGGGTCCTGCCTTGCCTTCTTCCCCCCAGCAGAACAAGCAAAGCCCAGGTCAGCCCTGAACCACCTGAAAACTGGGACACCTGTTTTCTTAGTCCCCTCATTCCCTCTGGAATTGACAGTAAATGTAAATAGCAAAAGGGCATTTTGAGGGAGTTGGGGGGAGCAGTAGTGTACTCATCTGCCCCAGACTTCTGAGGTAGTGGGAGGTCCTTCTGCAAGAAGGGGACACACGGGAAGGGTTGTACCTCCTGGCTCCCTCTCCTGGTGGCTGGTTTCCTGGATCTGCATCTCAGGAACTGCTTTGGAATGGCCTCCTCCCTATCTTCTGAACAGCAGCCTGGTGTCCGTTGTCAGGTCTTAGTCACCTGCTGGTGCTGCACACTGAGGCCAGATGCTCAGGAATGTGGCTTGGTGACATTACCCATCGAGTGAAAGGGCCAGAACCTGGTGCTCAGCCCAGCACTGTTAGGGTCTTTAAGGCCTGGGGACCAGCCATGAGTCAGCATCTCGGCCCCTAGAAGCCCCTGCTAGCTAGAGCCAGGCAGAAGATCCCAGGGCACAGGCCAGGCTGCCGACTACCATGGGCAACGCAGCCATGTCAGCACCATGAGGCCCAGAGAAGTGGTTCTGAAGCCTTAGAACTTTCTGAACACATCAGAACCCCTGCAGGGTAGGCTTCCTTGGCCCCTCCTCAGTTTCAAATTCAGCCAGTAGCCCATGCTCCTGCCACACCTAGAGTGAGGAGCCAGCAGTGAAAATTGCAAAAAGGGAAGAGGTCTCCATACCCAGAGACTGAGCTGGGCCCTGAATTGAAAGGCATCTTCACTTCCTTCCCAGAAAGCCACACCACTCAGAGCCCGTAGCCTCTTGGGCCACTTTATTTCTTAACTAGTGAGGGTCAGCACCCATCACCCAGGGCATCTGAGAGTGTGAAATCCAGGGTGACATCTCCAGTGCAGGGGTGGAACTCCACAGCATAGCTGACTGTCTGAGGACCTCCCAGTGGTGCTCTGGGGTCCAGCGTGGTGCTGAAGAAGTACACGGCCTGCTTACAGTGTGAGTTCCAGCAACAGTAACCCTGCAGGAGAAGAAGCAGAAGGTGGTGAGGACTGCCGGGCTAAGCCCTCTTCTGGCCAGCCTCCCCTGCAAGCAGTTCAAAGTGGGAAGCTGCCGCTCAGAGCCAGGTACCAAGGCCACTGAGAGTTCCCATCTGGCCGAACATGTCCCGGGAATATCCAGAGCACACTGGTACTGCAGCCTCCCCAAGCAATAGTGCCTGCTCTCAGGGCAAGCCAGCTCTGGGGCCCGTGTGCACAGCACTACCTTGTCCTCTGCAGGCTTCAGCAGGCCGGTGCTGATTGTGCTGTCCGGGGTCAGGTGGTATTCCATCCACAGGACAGCCCCGTGGCTCCTTCCAGGCCTGGGGAGGGGGGGATGTTGGACCAAAGAAAAACAGCACCATGAGAGATGGGTGAGCATGGCCATGGCTCCCCTCTGCTTTCCAGGAACCTCTGGTCTTCCCCACTTCCACCCTGCCCAGTCAGGAAGCTCCTAACACTCCACCAGATTAAAGGCCACTCAGTAAAATGCTGAACAAGAAGAGCCACAACCCAAAGCCCCCACTCACTCCTCATAGCTTGGCCACAGGTCGGCCAAAGGACCAGCCTCCTCGGCCTGAGATCACAGAAAGGCCTGGTCCAGAAGGCTCAGAGCACAGCCCTGCCACTGAATGCTGTAAGACCCCTCCCTGATACCCTGGATGGCAGGCCCAGATGGTTCTCTGACCCACCTCCCCTGTCAGAGGAGCCCCAGAGGGCTCTGGGCCAAGGGCCTCCACCCAGTTAGAAGGGGTTCTTCCTCTGGGAAGCAGCAGCTCCTCCCCATGAAGGGAGCTGGAGCTGGGTGGGCCTGGACATGCTTCACAATGAGCGTCCTTGCTAATTCCTAACCTGCTTTAATTCCCAGGAGAAAAAATGGGCCAATGGGTAACCATAGCAACCAATTCACATTTCTCTGCAGCTGTGATCCAATATGCTGCTTAGCTCAAAGGGAGCCTGAGGTGTGGAAGGAAGAGCAAAGCCCACTTGGGCTCTGCCTCCCACCCACACATACCCAGAGGCTGTGGGGACCTTCTATACACTCAGGGCCACTTTTGGCCAAGAAGGGCAAGGCCAAGACAAGGAAGGCCATCACACCCACGATAAAGTCGCCAAAGTAAGTGGTTAGCCGTGCAGGCAGTAACCACTAGACAGAAAGCAGGCATCCCCCACACACATACTTCCTTCCCCTAAGATCCTTACCCAGGAGCCAACACTCACCTCCTCAGCTCAATGGAGCCCTCAGCACAGATAGACTGCGAGGGGACTGGCTCCCGAAAATCAAAGGTCAGGATCTGCTGGGGCTCGGAGAGGCTGCGGCATGGGTACTCCCACAGTGGATGGGGCTCAGCCTCCTTGCTCTCCCTAAAGTCCAGGGCATGCTGAGAAGGGAAGGAGATGCAGAGCTCTGCAGAGACAGGGCCAGGATGCCCAGGGGACCAGGGGCTCATGTCCCCATCTCCAGGGTCTATGCCAGTGAACCCTCACCTCCATGGCCCAGGTTCCTCAGGGTAACCACCACAGTCCCATGGGGCAGTGGGTCCTCACAGACCACTGGCTTCTCCATTCCCTGCTGTCATTCCAGAGCCATCTCCCCAGCAAGTCACTTCACCTCTCTGAGCCTCACTCTCTCCCTTTTTAAAATGGGCTGACACTGCCCATATCACAAGCTACTTTGAGGACCAAATGTCTACACTGATGACAACACCTGGTGCTTGGACACCTGCCCATTTGGTGACCCTTATTGATCACTACAGCTGACAGATCACCCCCACTGAGGATCCCAGTCTAGAGAAAATGCAGACAAGCAACCATGGTGCCTGAGGAGTGCTGACCTCCTGCAGAGACAAGGCTGGGCAAGACAGCTGCCTGGAAGGGTGACCTCTGGGCTGTCTGCTATGGTCACACAGGAGTTGGCTGCAAGGAGGAGAATGGACACAGCTGAGAAGGGAGAGGGCCCAGAAGCAGGGGTCAGTGACTCTGCATGGTTTACTCTGCAGGAGGACAGGCGCAAGAACCCTCACAGGGTTTTCCCACAGGGGATGGACAGGGAGAGACTCAGGATCTACAGGTTTACTTGAGTTCCATGTGGGGGATGGTCAAGCAGGAGAGGCAGGAGGCTACATGGTCACAGGTGAGAGAGGAAGTGGCCCAGACCAAAGCAGCAGCAGCAGGGAAAGAAAACTGGATTTGAGGTTCACTGATGACCTGATGGTTATAGAACCTGATGAGCAACTGCAAATGAAGGCGAGAACTTGCCCGGGAAGACATCGAGGTCCTGAGCCCAGTGCCCAACATCTGGGTATGAAGTGGTGGCAGGCCTAGGATGAAGCCCTGGAAGAAGCCAGGCTGGGGATGGGGAAGGAGCACATGGATTTTGGAAGCATTGAGGTCAGAGTGCCTGAGGACATCTTAGTGGAGAGTCATTTGGTCTGAGCTCAGGATACATGCAAACATTAGCCAGAAACAGAGAGGGGACAGGAGACAGTAAGAACAGGGGCCTGTGGGAGACCTAGAACACAGGGCACCTTCGGCGATGGAAAGGATGGGAGAGCAAGAAGGAGTCTAAGAAGTAGCCAGAGGGAGTTAGAGTGTATGGTAATGCAGAACAGAGATTTCTAGAAGCATGAACAGTCAGCGGTTAACTGTAGAGGGGCAGGTAAGATGTAAACTGAAAATATTCATTGGATTTATTTACATGAGAAAAAAAAAGGGTTACATAAGCAATCCACAATCATTGTAGAAAAATGTGAACAGAGGCCTGGCTAGATGCTCAGCTGCCTGGAGCACTGTCCCATACACCAAAGGCTGCAGGTCCAATCCCTGGTGAGAGAACTTACGGGCGGCAACCGATAGATGTTTCTCTCTCACATCAATGTTTCTTTCTCTCTCTCTCTCTCCTTCTTCTCTCTCAAAATCAATAAAAAACATATCCTCTGGTGAGGATTACAAAAAAAAGGAAAAAGAAAAATGTGAACAAAATGATAAGCAAAAGAACAAAAATTAACCACTTCCTAACCACACAACGTTCTTGTACGTACTATTCCACCCCTTTCCTTGGGTGTATGTGTGAACTTTCTTACTACGTAAGACGAGATCGTGTTCCTTGCCCTGCCCTCTCACATGGAAATATCATGACTCTTTACTTCAATCCTCATAGATCCAATGCCATTGGCACTTTCACGAATTCCTTGGATTCTGGGGGATGCAGATGCTGGTAACTGACTCAGACTCTGACATACAAATAGCCCTGCAGGACCCCTCCCCATGTTCTAGCACCTCCCGGGACTGCAGTCCCCAAAATTAAAATGGCTGGCTCGGAAGGTTACCAAACTGCCTTCTGGAAAGGCTGTCCCAACAGAAAACAAGTTGCTGACACTGGCAGAAGCAGTTCCAGTGGCATGGTGGCAGACCCAGTCTGAGATTCTGATTCAGGGGTTAAAGCTCAGGGCCAAGAACAGCCTAGTGCTAGACCCTGAGACACAATGGTTCTCAGACCCATGCTCATGGTGAACCAAGCAGAATAGATACACCTGCCCCCAACAGAAGAGCTCTCTGCACACTGCTCGCACTGCCCAACCCATGTTTCTCCACAGAAGCCAGATGTCCCTGTTAAGAGGCCATTGGTGATGTGGAGTGGGTGGGAGGGACCCTGTGGGTGGGCACTGTGGCCCCATCTACCTTAATCATGTCATCCATGATGTGCACATCGAAGCCTTCACAATCGCCACAGGGGCTCCGGATCCGCCACAGGTCCTGTGAGGAAGGCACAGCCCTCACTGACACCTACCTGCCAGGGCACCCAGATGTCTACACCCACCGGGGCCACAGGGAAGTGTGGCAACAAGACCAAGAAGGGTCAGCGAGGTCAAGCTGGGGTGATCCCAGCCCCAAACCTGACACACACTGTGCTGTTTTCACATGCCCAGAAGAGACCCCCACCCCCAAGGCTGAAGGGACAGAGAGATACCAAAAACTGAGGATAGTTCTGTGACTGCAAAGTCTCATATGACCCCAAGTCCCCTTCCACAAGGAGACAACTGGCCAGAGCTACTGGGCTGGGGTTTCTTGCTCTCTGTCCATCCTGAACACCATTTTCTTTAGGAAGAAATCTATAAACCAGTTCTCAAGGCTCTGTACCTATAAACAGAGCATGAGGATGACGGGAGGGAGGGGACTAGAGCACTCAGACGAGTCAACTTTGTGTCCCATCTCCTGGATTTTTGCCTGGAGATGAGTGTCGTTATCCACATTCCTTCTTTGGACATGAAAACCAGAATTCATGTGGAAGTCTCATCAGGTAAACAAATAACACAGAAGAAATACCCAGAAAATGAGTAAAGGAGCCACTAAGCTACCAATGGACAAAGCCATTCTTATCAAAGAAATATCAAATGAGGCTCACTCTACATTTCAGGTTAAAAGCATTTCAAAATCCTTTTAATAAAAATGCCTTTCCCAAAATGACTTTATGACTGTGTTTCTACTTTGATGAGAAAATTAAAATGAAGCTTTTCAATCTTTCCTCGCATAAAGTGACTCTCCCATCTCAAAATGCTTTTAACGAGTGCAGCCTCGGCTCTTAATGAGAACAGAGCAAGCTGCACAGCATGTCTTCTGAAACTCTTCATTTATATATTTTAATTATTCTGATAAGCCATATTGTACACACAGCCAATTCCATTTCATATGTCAAATTACTGCATTTTTAAAAAGACAGGCCTCTTCTATTCAACCCTGCAGCTGCTGAAACAGAAAAGCAGAGGCCAAATCATGAAGACCCGATGAACTCCATCTGCACCCAAGGTCTTTGCAAGAAAACAAGGTACCCCCACCCCTTCTGCAAAAACCTCTGGGTGGCCTACCCTGAACTCCACGACCACAGCATGCAGTGAGGCAGCCTGAGGCATCACCACGGCGCCAGGCCCAAGGTGCTGGTCCACGGCAGTCCGCACGTACCAGAAGTACAGATTGTGCCACGGCAACAGGCTGGTGGTAAAGAACGGCTCACCTAGGAGGAGAGAGACCTGAGAGCAGAGAAGAAGCAGAACCAGGACATCAGAAGGGCTCTTCTGAAGAGAAACACAGGTCACAAGTTTCACAGGTGCACAGAAGTAACAGGCCATTCATTTGCTCGCTCACTCACTCGGTCAACAAACAAGCATGCCAGGTTTGCACCTGCCCCTGGGGATACAAAAATGAGAAATAGACACAAGCCCTGCCCTGCCCTCTGGAGTGTCGAGTGGAAGAGGGAGCAGATGAGGCTGGGCACTGTCCTTGTGGAGGGCAATAAGCTTTGACAGATGCACAGAAGGGGCATGTGGAGCACCCCGGAGATAAGAGCATCAGGAAGGACTTCCAGGATGGCCCTGTAAATCCCCACTCAAAGCTTACTTGACAACTTACTCTCAGTGCTCATCTACCTGTCTCCCTCATGAAGCTCTGACCACCACAGAAGTGGGGACATTGGCAGCACAGTATCCCCAGCACCCAGCAAAGCACCTGGCCCAGAGCAGGTGGTCAGTACACATGTGCTGAGTAAATGAACAGACACATGAGGAGGGGTCCAAAAAGCAAAGGAGAGAAGACTCTAGACAGTGGATGGACAGAGGCACATGTCTGGCAGGAGAGAAAGGCCCTCTCAGGAGCTCAACAGATGAGCACGCAGGGCAGGACGGTAAAGGGTAAGTCCAGAGAAGCGGAGACGAGCCAGGTCACCCAAAGGCAAGTGATGACAGGTAAGGGGACTAGATTCTGCCATGGGGGTTAGGGGGGGCACTAAAAGCTTTAATCAGAGGAGGGATGTATTTTAGAAAGAGCCCTCTGACAACCATGAAGTATATGAGGACACTACCTGTAGGCAGAGTGGGGACAAGAGATGACTTGGGTGAGTACCATAAGGAGCAGGGAGTATGCAAAAAGGAGGAGACCAAAACGTGGCAGATGCTGAGAAGACAGAGCACCCAGGGCCAGACCCAAGCAGACAGGCATCAGTGGGGGGCCAGTTCGAGACGATGTCTGGGTTTCTGGCTGAGGTGACAGAGATACAGAAGGAAGACACTGAAGACAGAAAGGAGTTGGTCCTGAGTACTCCCCACCCCCCAACATCGGAAACAGGGCAAGAATGCCCCTCTTACCACTTCCATTCATCACTCCAGTGACCTGGAGTCTAGCCAGGGCACCATATCAATGGCTCAGAGAATTCAATTATCTTTTTAATCCTCATCAATGAGAGGACAAAAGAAAACTTGTACATGAATGTTCATAGCAGCAGTTTCACAGTAGCCAAAAAGTAGAAACAACGCGAATGTCCATCAACTGATAGAGAAGTAAAATGTGGTACTCCCCATACCATACAATGGACTATTACTCAGCAGTTAAAAAAAAATGTTTTGATTTATGCTACAACGTGGATGAACCTTGAAATAAGCCAGTTACAAAGAGACCATGTACTGCACGATTCTATTTACAGGAAATGTCCAGAACTGGCAAATTCATATAGACAAAAAGTACATTAGTGGTTGCCCAGGGCTGAGAGGATTGGGGAGTGATTGCTAATGGGCATGGGTTCTCTTTTGGGGTGTTAAAAATGTTCTAAAATTGATTGGGGTGAAGGATACACAACCTTATGAATATAATAAATCACTGAAGTGTGTATTTTAAGTGGGTCAACTGTATGGCATGTGAATGATATTTCCAAAAAAAATTTTCTTAAAAAAAAAAGAGGCACGGGGGAAAATAGGCAAAAGACTTGAGTAGATATTTCACCAAATAAGACACAGAAGTTCTAATGAGCACATGAAAAGGTGTTCAACATCATTAGTCACTAGGCAAATATAAATCAAAACCACAAGACACCACTACACACCCATTAAATGGCTATAATAAAAACGATAGACAAACAGTGTTGGTAAAGATATGGAGAAACTTGAACCCTCAAACATTACTGGGGATGTAAAATGGTACAGCCACTTTGGACAAGGTTAGCAGTTTCTTAAAAAGTTAAAACAAAAATACCTTAGGACCCAGCAATTCCAAGCCTAGGCAGCTACTGAAAGCATGTATCCTCACAAACACAGACACCAGTGTTCACAGCAGCACTGAAACAGCCAAAAACTGGAAACAATCCAAATAGCCTCAACAGGAGAGTGGAAGCACAAACTGTAGCACAGTCATACAATGAATAGGATACCAGTCAGAATCAAAAAGGAACAAAATACTGACATATTCTACAACAGGGATGAAACTCAAAGACGTCCAGTGAAAGCAGCCCAACACAGAAGACCATATATTGCATTATTCCACTTACAGGAAATGCCCAGAAACGACAAATTTACAGACAGAAACCACATCAGCGGTTGCCTGGGGCTGGGGCTAGGTGATGGAAACGTTGTAAAACTAGATTGTGTGATAATTGTACAACTCTATAAACTTACTTTAAAAAAAATCATTAAATTGTACACTTGAAATGGGTTAATTTTATGGTATGTCAATTATATTTCAAAAAAGCTATTTAAAAAGTTGGCAAGGAAGATTCCAGCTTGAAGGGCAGTGTGAGGAAAGACACCCAGTTGGCAGCTGGACACATGACATTTACAGAGCCAGCTTTGTCCCTCAGGGATTCCCATATGGAAGAGGATGTCACTGCTGGAGAGGAGTCACAGAGGGAGAGGAGACTGAACAAGGGGGGAGCTCCAAGGACATCCCTAGGAAAGGACTGAGTGAAGGAAGAGACCCATGAAGAACTGAGAAGCAGCCAGAAAAATATGAAGAAACCCTAGAAAAAGTAGTGTCTTAAAAGCCTAAAAAGAAGTGTGTTAAGGACAGAGATGGCCCCTGGGTCATCAGGGGCCAGGGGGCCAGTGAGATGAAGCATGTGGGAGACTGTGGTTAGTAACTAAGAGGTTACTAAGAGGTGGGAAGCACACATTGGGGACTGAAGCCCGAATGCGGCAGAAGCGAACAGGAAGGTGCTGTCAAGGGAGGAGGGACTAAGGACACAATATGCTGCTATTGATCCCAGCAGAGCTGTCTACCCTCACTTGAAGGAGCAGAGATTAGCCAGAGTTCAGAGTAGTACAAGTATCTGCTCAGCAGGCACCTCTGCAAACCCTCCTCACACCCTCCACAGTGGCCATTTCCTAGCTGGTGAGTTCCACATGGGACCCTCTGTGAGGCCAGAGAAGGGGGGCGGAGCTCGGCCATCTAGTGCTGTGCCGCTCGGTGCCAACTCTCATTACTCACCTTTTTACCCTCCAAGTCTGCAGATGTTAATGATTCAGGCCGTTTGGCTATTATATTAATTTTATCTTCCAAGTGGTTAGCCTTGAAGATCTTAGAGATAAAAAATTAAAAGTATTATTTCTGTCCAGAAAAAACATCTCAAAGTTTCATCTGCAGCTTTCTGGCCAAACAGTTCTAGAGCACCACTTTTATCTGCTTTGTGGAAATTCTCCCCTCCAGGGGCATCCTATACACCTGCAATGAGATCACTAGCAAATTGTAACAAAAAAGAAATTTCTCTCCCAGCACATCAATAGGATTTAGCAATATGTTTGCAGTTCTGGTGGAGGCGGGTTGTCCTTCAGAGAGAAAAGCAAAACCAATTACTGGCCAGGAGGAGACATACCACCGGGTAACCAACCAGACAGGCCAGCCCACGAGCAATGACTCCCTGGGTGCTGGTGTCCCAGAAACAAATCATACATTCAGCTGTATCACCACAAAGAATTTAATTTTCTTAGTTTCACATGAAGTGAGGAAAAAGCTTACACTTCTTCAGCCAAAAAACAAAGTCTACGAGTCTGTTTCCAATCAATGACAGCCCTAGAATTCTTCCAGGCCAGACGGGAGCAAGAGAGCGCTCACTGCTGCTCCTTCTCCCGGTTCCCTTGGTATCCACACTACTTCAAAGCAGTAGGCGCCAGACGCAGGAAGACAGGCACCACAGGTCCCCTCATTATTTCAGGAACAATTATCACTTACTTTTTTCATCAGTCTATGAGAAGCTGCTGAACTCTCTATTGTAAGTACCTGGAAAGAATACCATGCTATTAGTGTAGGAGATTCACTTAATAGAGAAAGAAATTAAGGATTAAAATGGGATAAGATCATTCCAAGGCACCAAACCACCTCCACCTGTGCTCATTACCTGCTGGGACAGCACCCACGCTCTGCAATGACCCTAGAGAAAGGTGGCAGCTCAGACAGTGGAGCTGCAGGTATAGGTCAATGCTACAGCCTGACTCCTGCCTGCACACGAAGGCAATAAACCCCTAACTCTGAAGCAAGCACACACTACATACATGGTGGCTGCACCTGCAAAGAGCTTTAATCACATAACTGTGCACCCAGACCACATGGCACCCTAACTCAAGCGCTGCACTCGGGAAGCTGACAGAAAGACACATGTCCAGTACCTGCTCTGCCCCAAGGTAATGGGCCAGCACGGAGAGCAGACTGCCATCGCTGACACACAGGCAAACACTGTCTGGCTTCAGCACCTGTCGGAAAAGAGCAACTTCAGCACTAGTTTTCTTACAGTGTATCAAGAAATTCTTGTTGGTAAACTGATAGATTCCACTGCTTGGCTGAATCTTTCTGCACCCTACACCAGTCATGCTTGCTTCCCAGGCCCAGGAGGTAGCCAGTCCCCATCCTCCAACACATCCACTTCACTTACCTCTCCCCACCAGACCCCACAATCAGGAAAGACTTCTTAAGCTGTCCTAGAAGGTCCACCTGAAGGCCTTTCCACTGGCCACCTCCCAATCCATGGTGACAGGCCTCTTCCCTGTCTGGTCACAGCAGACAGCTGTGGGCTTGTTGAGTGACTCACCAAAGGCAAGGATGCCTTTATGGAGCACAGATCTGAGAGAAACTTAGGATGGTTGGGATCCTCACTACACCAAAATGCACGCATGTACACACATACTTCTGCATACAACTCCACGGGGTCCAAGAGATCAGATCCCCCCTCCAAACCCCGTGTGTGGTCCCCAGGCTGCAAGACCTCTGCTATAGGCATCAGGGAGCAAAGGCTTTCAGGCAAGCAAGTTCCATGGCCAGATTTACATTTTAAAAAATTTTAGAGCCCGGCTGGACGTGGCTCAGCAGTTGAGCGTTGACCTGGGATCCAGGAGATCGGGGTTCAATTCCCGGTCAGGGCACATGCCCAGGTTGTGGGTCGATCAATGACTCTCTCATCAGTGATGTTTCTATCTCTCTCTCCCTCTGCTTTCCTCTCTCTGAAATAAATAAAGATATTTTTTTTTAAATAAAAAAAATTTTAAAAATAAAAAATTTTAGAAAGGAGGCAGCAGATGTAAGGAAGAATGGGGTGGCTGGATCCACTGGGACCACCCACAGGAACTGCTGGTGATCACAAAGGCCAAGTTCCAGGGCGACAAAGGCAGGGGCCAAAGGGGAGCTGAAGGCTATCAGAGGCGAACAGAGAACAATCCCCAGGAATCCAGTAACAGGCTCCAGGCTCTACCTGAGCGCCCACCCGGAAGGAGCTGGCTGAAGTCACTGAGACAGATCAGGGAGCACAGAAAACAGAAACAACGAATCCTAAGTGAGCAATGAGCTGGGGCCCACCGGACAATCTCCTTCTTGCCCACAAGCATCCAAGGGGCTAGATACATACCGTTCTCAGGGCCTGGACATACTGATCAGTTCTGTCCTGATCATTGATTTCTCCAAACCGAGGCCGGTTCCAGAGCAAGTGAGCCTGGCAGTCACACACAGGGCGTGCTGGGTGGAATCTCCCATTCTTTTTAGGACTACACCAAGAAATGAATAGACACAGAGTGGTGAGTGTGACCTGCTAGACACCAGCGAGTATGAAAACATGGCACAGGGACCTACTCCAGCAAAATCAAGATGGGCCTCAGAGGACACATCCACAGTCCTCTCCAGGGCAGGAGTCTAGGCACTGACTCTCAAGGGGGCGTTAGAGCTTGGAGGGCCCCCCAATTCAAGACTCTCATATATGTCTGTTCCGGGTGAGGGCCCCACAATGGGGGCAGCCTCTTCTGAGGACATGTAACAGGTGCTGATACATCCAGGCACAGACTTTTGCTATTTTATTCTGTTCAACTATAAATGTGCCTACTCATGCCTTTAAAAGTCTCCATTATAGACACATAAATGTCTATAAAAGGGGAACTTACATAAATGTGCAGTGTTACAGGCCCAGAGCCCACCCCATGAGGCTCAGGGCATACCTGGTCCTCTGAAGGCTGTACCACACACAGTAGTCGTCGTGGTGGGCTACCAGGCAGAGGGCTGAGCCCTGTACGATGGGCTCCTCTTGTGGCAGGAAGTACACACACTGCATCCAGTGGTCCCGCCACTGAAATGGGAAACAGAATCAGCACTCACTAAGCTGCAACAGGAGCAATGCTTCTAATCCAGGAGCCAAAATTCAAGCTACAGATCAGTGTGCAGGGAGACCACATGTAGACAACAGATAGCTACTGGGGCTGAAGAGATAAAGAAAAAAACTCTCAAGTCAGAGAGGCTAATGGCCAGAAAGCTTGCTGGAACACTGATGGCTTTAGGGAGGCAAAATGTGGCCTAGGGCAATGGTCTTCAAGAAGAAGGGGTTCAAGGGAGGGGACTCCAGTCCCTCTCTTGTATGTGATGGGGGTGGAGTGGGGAGTGGAAAGATAGAGGGAGTAAAGCAGAGAGGAAGGGAGACAGAGAGAAAGCAAATGTGGCAAATGTTAACAATTATAAATTTAAGTAAAGGGCACATTGATGTTCATGTTCACTTATTCTGTGGATTTAAGTTTTTTCAAAATAAAAAGTTGGGTAAATAGTACAGAAAGGTTTTGTCTCATTTAAATTAGTTTTTAAAGATGTGGAAAACTCTAATTGTAAAACATGACTTATGATTCAGAATCAACCTTTTAATAAGCTGTATTGATCCTTTTTGATACTACAAACACCACATACAGGATTGTGGTGAATCTTAGAGTCAACATGCTACTTTCCCAAAATAAAAAGTGGACAAGTTTCCTGATTTACATGAAAACATGCTCAGCTCCTACCTCTTACCTGGAGCTCCTGTGGGTCTGTGTGTGCCCAGAAGGGGGCCATGGTGCACCTGATCTTCCCCTCAGGGTCCATTTCAATGTCCCACCAGGAGAGAACCACCTGAGCTTGGCCAGACGCCAGAGGTTCAAACTGCCTGCTATGGCAGGCTGCTGAGCTACTGACTTGCTTGCTGAAGTCCACACTGTGGGAGAATATTCAGGAATTTAAGCATATTTTAAGCTCATACACTCCATTTTTAAGCTTTTATGGTGACCTCACCAGCAACGAAGACTTGTATGCAATGGACTCCTGCTTTCAGAGGCAGGTGACATCAGCTGGGTTCCTTTCCACTCAAAAAGAACTTCCAAAGACCCCCATTCCACCAAATGTCTCAAAGCGCCATCACCCAGGTTGCTCCTTGGTACCTGAACATAGGCAGCACGTCGCTGAGGACCGTGAAGTCAGTGGGTGACACCTGGTTCAGCTGAATGTCATAAACGGAAGGTGCACCCGGGCACCTCTCCAGTTCCATGGGGGGAACGATGATCTGCTCTCCAAGGCTGGTCTGAACACGAATGGGAAAGAGCTTGTTCCATGACCACATCCTTCTGGACTCCACCAGTTGCGCATAGACGGTTGCTCTGTGAGGCACTGCCTCACAATCTCCCTAAGTTTATATTAAACACAAATAAATAAATAAACCAGGCACACTGACCCACAGTAATTCCAACTGCACAAAAGAGGGTTATTCCTTAATATTAGGCTAATTTAGTAACATCTAACACCTTACCACTATTAGCATAGTCAACTATTTTCAGCCCAATGCCATTAGGAGAGAAAAAAAGAAACTAGATTTGAAAAAGGATTACACATTATGCCTAAAATGATTTATGTCATCAGATAAGTTCCTAGCTATCTGACACTCTTAAATACTTCAAAAATAAACCTTAATTGTCATCCTGCTGATTAACTCCCACACAGACTTTGAAGAAAGAGTCCAATTCTCCCTGCACTGATTCTGGCACTGGGCTCAGAGCTTCCCTTCAGTGCAGCTCTTGCCCAGACACCAGAACCTTTTTATCATACAACCCAATGGACAAGTGTCCACCCTCAACCTGACCTTCTGGCCTCACCCGGCACTGCCGAGCACTCTCCTCATCCAGTTTTCCTCCTACCTCGTTCATTCATTACCACCCTCTACACACCAGGCACTAGGGGCCTAGCTGTGAAGAAGACACTCACAGCTGCTCCCACGGGGAAATGTCAAGCACAGGGATTCTCTACCTCAGCACCAGTGACCTCCTGGGTCAGAAGATCCTTTGTTGCAGGGACTGTAGGATGCTTAGCAATACCTCTAGCCTCTACCCACAGATAAGAGTAGCACCACCCCCGCCAGCTATGACATGAACAATGTCTCCAGACATAGCTCTGGATGAGAAGCACTGCTCTAGCTGGACTCTCAAGGCCCCTGCCCACCCCTCATAGAGGAGACTCCCCAGAGACCTGGTCTGGACCACCTTCTTTCTCCCTCCACGTAAAAGAGTAACCTCAACCACTCCATCTGTGTATCCAAAGGCCTCTTGGTCCTTTCTCCCTGGCTGACCCTCAGATAACTCAAACTCTTTCTGTCTAAACTGGACAAATCCAATTTCACCCATTTCTCATGTTCCCAGACCTGGTCCTCTCATACCCCCAGCTGACAGGGAGTATCATCACTCAATCCAGTCAGCCAAACCCTAAACCCTGGCATTATCCTCAATGCCTCCTCATCTAAGTAATCACCAAGCCCTTGACCACCTTTTTCCTCCCAGGCCCATTTCTATGACCTTACCTGAGGCCTATCTCAGCCCAGCACCTGGATGACTCCAACCACCTTTCTGCCTCTGGCCTTGCTCCCCAACTGCTTTCTACATACCTGCCTGCATGAATCAACTGCCGGTTTAAAATCCTTTTGTGGTGCCATGCTGCCTTCTGGAGCATGGCAGCCCTTCTCAGTCTAGCCTTGCCCAGCAATCTAGCCAAATCTCTAACCCCAACTCTCACACTACCCATAATCAAAACTGCTTGCAGGATCTGGGAGCCACTGCAGCAATTCACCTTCATATGTTTGTGTATGTTGATCTCCTCTGCCATAAATACCCCCCGCGCCTGCCATGCCAACACCTGATCACTTTTCAAGACTGACTCAGCTTGGGCTTCATTTTCCTGGACCTCTCCACCTTCCCATGACCAGGGTGGGCAGGATCTTACCTCAATGACCACCATCAGTGTGTAACCCAAACTGTACTGTGATGACCTGCTCACCACCTGCCTCCCCAGGAGTTCACCTTCATATTCTTGGTACCCAAAAAAGGCCCTGGCAAAATTAAGGTACTCAATAAATGCATCTTCTGAAATCAATCCCTGGGTCAACACCACATGGACGATCTGTCAGACATGCCAGCATCCTGGTTCCATGACCTCTATTAAGACAGGAAGAAGGTGAGGACAATGGAAGCCTTTGTGTGCCAGCCCTAACTCCTTCAAGCTCAGACACAGGATGGGCATATGGGGACAATGATTAGAGAGGACAATGCATATCTGGCTGCTACAGGCCAGGTGGAAGAGGAAACTGAGGACAGTTGTCTGCCTACCTTTTTAATATGATGAATCAGAGAAAGACAAAGTGGGCAACATTAACATAAATTCTAAATATCCTTGTTCTCTGTTTCAGGGATATATCTAGTTGGTGGTTTTAATGTGGAGAAATAGAAATTGTTACTACTGAAATTGCTAGAAAAGAGTTTCACATTTTGGAAACGATGAGACAACTCACAAAGTGCAGGGATCTACAGAACAATCATAGACACATGCTGACTGTGTGAGTTATGTGGACTCTGGTCCTGACTGCCCTGAAAGGAGCTCCCTTCCTCTCTCTGAGGGCACTAAGAACCCCCAAAAAGGGTTCTTGGCAAGGACAGCTGCAGTGCCCTCAGGGCAGGTGGTGGCAGAAGGAGCAGACACACATCCCTGGCTGGCCTTTGCCTCTGGGTCTCCACCTCTAGTTTATGTCCATACAAAAGCAAGACCAACATCTTCAAGATAATATTTTCAACATGTCTCTCTCTTTTCAAAGAAACTGTCAAAGACTGTCACTATCCAAACTCCTTCACCTGGAATGGCCTGGCCTTCAAGGAATTTCCACCCTCTCCTCCTTTCTCTGCCATTAACTCACAGCCCCCCAGACTGATACTCTCAGTGACCTACCAAACAGGTCTCTTTACCTGGGACATCTCTCCCTCTCCCCAGTGCCTTTCTAAATTCTGCCCTCTCCCTGATCTTTTCTATCAGTCCTAAATCATATGTCTGTGATGCTTCTGTCTGCCTCTCCATTCAGCCCACCCCTTCCTCACCATCACTGACTAGTGTGAGTTAGAGCAACTGGATGTCTCATACTTCTCATTGGTTGCCAGAACACTTTACACTCAAAGAATGTTTGAGAAATTGAATTGAATTTGAAGATAGTTTCTTGCCTTTTGACTCTAATCTACCAAGACTTGGCATTCAAGAAGCACAGAAGTCATAATTAAGGAAAACAAGAATCCTGCAGGAATCAAGGGGTGTCCTAGGATATATGGAGAGGTACTGAGAGCGCAGGCTGTGAAGAGCCATGGTGTATCAATGAGAGCTTTGTAAGCTGGCTGAGATTACAGTAAGACACCTGAGGGATGCTCTTGTCTCCTACCTGCACGAGATGCCTGTGTGCATGCTCATAGGAGGGCAGTGCACCCTCCCCAATCAGTTCCGTGTCAAACAGCTCTGTGATCAGGATGTTGGCACGGCATGGCATGTCACCATCTGAGAAACACAAAGGAAATAGAGTCAGAAGCAAGCAACAGACTAGATAAAATATTAATAGCAAATAGATGCAAGATAAAAGGTTAATAAGTCATTAAACTGAAAGCACATATAAATGTTGAAGTATTTAGAAGTGTCATGTCTCAACTGACTTTCCAAAGGTTTAGCAAAAAAATCCATATACATACATACATACATACATACATATATATATATATATATATATACACACACATATATATATATCAAAATGCTAACAACTGACAAGTCTTGGTTAAGAGAATATGAGGGTTCGCTGTACTACTGCTCTTTCAACTTCCTGTATACAAGTTAAATTTAACTATTATTAAATTAGCAAAAATTATTTGAAAAGCAAAAACTGAATGCCGGTACTTCAAATATTTCTAGGCTGCAGAGAGGGAGAGAAAAGCAAAGCAAGAAAGAGACGCTGATTAATTCCACTAATACCCAGGGTTCAGAATTCCCAGTTCCTTATACTAAATCCCCCTGAATTAAGTTCATTTCTTGCTACCAAACCATTTCCCAAATAACAGTTGTTTGGGACAGGAGGTTTATGAAGGATCTTGTTATTAACTCCATTTTCTAAACTGCTGTAATGTAATGTTTCTTCTACGGTTATAATTTTTAATGAGCCATGAGACAAAACAGACTTTGGAAGGGGCTATTCATCACGGAGAATTAACTAAACACTCCTAACGGCTCATGAATTACAATCTGACAAAGCCCAGTCACCTTCCCTACAGAGAAGACAAGTCTCATGGCTGATGCAAGAAAAGAGAAGCATTAAAGTGGTTCAGAGAACGGTGCAGCAGAGAGCCTGAACCTTGAGTCATGGAGACCTGGGCTTTGAGCCTTGAACCCTCAGCACCGACCATCAGCTACCTCATCTATTAAGTGGGGGTAACAAGATCTGCTCCACGCAGCAGTGGTTAAGTTACCAAAGGTGAAAACTGTTCACTTCCTATGAAGCACACTTGTGCTCAATGGAGATACGAAAGGAGGCTAAGAAGAAACTTCTGTCCCTTGGCACAGAGATCACCCACCCCAGTGACCCTGCCCATCCTCTCTGATACCATGCCAAACTTCAACTGAAATACACCATCCCAAACTGAGCCAATCACATCCCACCCCCATGCACCTGTTTCTCCCTCTAATGTTTCCACCTCAATGAATGCCATCGCCACACAGTCCAGAAACCTGGGCATCATTTACTAGGAGAGTATGGACCCTAACTGGTCTGTTTACCACTGCACCCCAGTGCCTAGAACAATGCCTGGCACCCAGAAAAAGTCAGCAAACATTAGCTGAATTCTTGATTCCTCCCTGTCGCCCTACATCCAATCAATCACCAAGTCCTGCCAATGCTACCTCCTGAATAATTTTTAAGCTAATTATGTAACTTAAAGTGATTTATTGCCCAAATTTGCTTCAACTAAATAAAGCTTTACGATCCAATGAATTTCAACAAATACTCCTGAGAACCTAGCGTGTGAGTCTAGCATGTGTCTAGCATATGAGTGAGAGCCTGAGGAGGGGTGGTTACTCCAGGTGCCTCGGAAGTCTTACCCAATGACCAGATGGATGAACAAATGACCCCTGAGTCAGCTGCCACACATGCTTATGTATAACCCATCCATCTCTGGGAAACAAGCAACAAGCTTAGATGCTATATTTTAAAAGGGCTGAGAACAGAACCTTGCAAAACATGCATTCTGGGGAGAAAGCAAGCTGCAAAAGAGAATCAAAGCTGGGAGATGTCACTGAGGCCTGGGAAGAGAGTTACCAGAAAGACTAAATGACAGAAGTACCAAAGCTGCAATGTTTGCGAGGAAAAGCAGAGGAAAGACCATTAGCCTTGGCAATAAAAAAGCCACTTGTCAAGTTGGGGGAGTGGAAACAAAGTCCCATTTACAAGGGGTTAAGACCAAGCAAAGTTGACAATCTACTCACTAAATAAGTATTAATGAATTCTTTCATGCCAGGAATATGCAAGTTATGGAATGGAATAAAGTTATTAAGACCACACAGTCTATCCTGCCCTCAGGATGCTTCAGCTGTGTGGGGATATAGACATTAAATACATAATTACATAATGATTTCATTATTGCAGTGATAAGCACTACAAAGAAAAAGTATTAAGAAAGCATATGAAGTGTCTGGCCTCATGCAGGGTGTGTGTGAACAACATACAGCCTGGAAGAGGGCATAGAGTCACAGAGAGAGTGACATGGCAAAGGCTGCTCTGTGGGTTGGTCTCTGTGCTCTCAAGATAAACTTTAAAAAATAAATGACCTCCACCTCTGGCCAAAATGGAATAACTGGGATCAGACTTATCTATCCACTGTAATCAACTAGAAAACCAGACAAAATATATGAAACAAGTGTTTTCAGGTACTGAACAAGAGGCAACACAGTCTGTTCCCCAAGAAGGGAAACAAACAAAGTGACCCCTACTACTGTTCTGTCTTTCAGCCAGCAGGCACTTTCCAGACCACAGTACAGGGAGTGAGAAAGCAAGCAGAGCACAGCAATCTTGCTGAGTTAAGAAGACAGCAGTTGGAGTTCAGGGAAGTGGAGGCAACTGGGACTTGCAGGGGAGAGAACCAGAGAGGAAGTTGCACAGAAAAGGGCTTCAGAAATCTGCACAGGGCTACCCTGTTGAATATATTCACACACACATAGGGTAAGACTCTAGAAGGCTGGGTAAAGATAACCATGTAGCTCTAAGGTGAACAATTTCCAGAGCTCACAGAGGACTGAGTAACATTCCAGTTCTAATCAGCCAGCACACAGGAGAGACCCTAGAAAGTTCATGCCTTGCCCAGCCAGTGTGGCTCAGTAGTTGAGCATTGACCTATGATCCAGGAGATAGGGGTTTGGTTCCCAGTCAGGGCACATGCCTGGGTTGTGGGCTCAACCCCCAGCAGGGGGTGTGCAGGAGGCAGCTGATCAATGACTCTCTCTCATCATTAATGTTTCTATCTCTCTCTTCCTCTCCCTTCCTCTCTCTGAAATCAATACAAATATATTTTAAAAAAATAATAATAAAGGTCATGCCTTACTAGTAAGGCTAACATAGCCTTAGAGCAGGGTTCTCAACAGAGGGCAATTTTGCCTTCACCCTTCACCCTGGGACATTTGGCAATGTTTGAAGACATTTTTGGTTGGCACAAATGGAGAGGGAGGTGCTACTGATTTCTACTGGTTAGGGGCCAGGGATAAACATTCTACAATGCACACAATAGTTCCCCCACCCCCATCAAAGAATTATCAGTCCCAATATGGCAACAGTGCTGCTGTTGAGAGACCATGACTTAAAGCTACTCTAACCCTGCTTCAAAAAGCTTCAAAACAAGCCTTGAAAGGATCAAACTGATCTGCAAGTAACCCAACTGCATGCCAGATGAAGCTTCTAAAGGAAGACAACAAAATCCAGCCCTTAGCAAGGCAAAATTCCCACTATACACAGCATCCAAATGAAAATTACTAGATACGCCAAGAAGGAAAATGCATCCAAAACTAAGGTAACAGAACAAACCCCTAGAAGACAGAGATGATAGAAATAAGAGATAAGAATGTTAAAACAGCTATTATAAATGTGTTAAGTATTTAAAGGAGCATAGGAACATAAGGAGAAAAATCAAAGTCATAAAAAAAATAATCATTTTAGAGATAAATACAATTCCAGAAATGAAAAGTTAACTAGATATGCTTAACAGCAGACTAGACACCACACAAGAAAAGATCAGTAAACCTAAAGACTCATCCAAGAAACTATCCGTGTCCAATAACAGGTGAAGGGTTAAACAGATTATGGTATGTCCACACACGAAGTCCTGCTTAGCAATAGAAGAGAATGAACTCAAGAGCAATATGCAACAGAAAAGAAAGCAGGCACAAAGAATACAAGCTGTATGATTCCACTCACTCAAAATTCTAGAAAAGGCAGATCTAACCTATATAGAAGAAAGGAGATCAGTAGGTGCCTAAGGCCAGGGCTATGGAGGGATTGACATCAAGGATATTAAAGAATCTCTTTGGGCATGATAGAGATATTCTATTATCTTGATTGTGGTGGTAGTTACAAGTATATTTAAATCTGTCAAAACTTAAACTATCCACTTAAAATGGGTGCATTCACTTTATGTAAATTATACCTCAATAATGTTGATTAAGATGGGATAATGATTTGTGCATTCTTTTGTATGTATATCATGTTTTAAAAATAAATAAAACACTAATTCCTTCTTTTGTGCATGTTTCAGATTTTCCATTAAAAAAAATATGTTTTAATGGGAGAAAGATGTTGACCTTAGGTAGATGCTTCATACTAAAATACTGTGTTTTTTAAAACTGGGGTGATACCCATAACCTCAGCCTAGGAGCTTCTTTTACAAATCTTTCCACTGTGCTCTCCAGGTATCAGTGTCATGTGAAATTTTAAAAGTCCAGTTCAAACTACTAGACTATAAAAAATATTGTGGAAACATGGAGAGATTGTGCTATACGGGCAAATCTCTCATGTCAGATGCTGAAGCAGGATGTCAGAACTAGGCAAAACTATTTCTGCTATCTACTTAGTTTCACTTCTGTCTGATAAAAATTGAAACTCAGAGAGCTGAGCTACGCAAGAATTCCAACTTGCTTAAAGCAAAAGGTTTCCTTTGTGTCACTGCTATTGCTTTTGATTAGTTCTGGTTTACTCATTGCTGATTCATTTTCGCTAGTAGAGAAATAAACTAGTAGAGAAATGATTCTCTTCAGACACAAGGAAAGTCCCCACATTTCTGCAATTACCTGGAATAAATGCATCCAGGATGCATTTATTCCAGGTAACCTGAAAAAGCTTTTTTCTCTCTTACAAAAGTAAAGATTCCAACACAGTATGTGTTGATCTTACCTGGTCCCACGGTCACCTCTGTAGAATGCTTGTTGATAACCTTAATCTTATTACTGAAGCCATTTTTCTCCACAATCTTCACAGCAGCATCAGCCATAGGCTTGAAAACCTAGAAAACAGAGCCAAAACCCAAGAAAAATAAGCAATCAATTTAATAACATCCTAACACCCAAGATTTGCAAAATGTTCCTGGATTCTAGTACTAAGATTTGAAGTTAAAAAGGTCTGCATTACAAAATTTCCTTCCAAATATACAAAATGTACCTTTGTTACCATTCAAGATATAGGCAAAATATTTTTGGGGGCTGATTTAATTTAAATAAACAAGACTTCATCCGTGTAACTTTAATACTTTATTCTCCAAACTTTAATACTTTATTCTTGTGTCATGAAAATGAATACAAAGGAATGAGATTCCACTGGGTTTAACTGGCAGCTAGGAGTCCCCAGGCACAGGGGTGATGCAAGGAATTCCAAGGAGGTCGCACTACCTAGTAAGGACAGCAGGTGTCAGTGCCACACTAGAAGGAGCCAGGAAGACTTGCCTCACAAACTATGATCTGTGACCTGGGACAAGATGTGCCAGGGCTGCCCTAACCGGTTTGGCTCAGTGGTTATAGCATCGGCTGCGGATTGAAGGGTCCCAGGTTCGATTCTGGCCAAGGGCACATATGTTGGTTGCAGGGTCCTCACTGGCCCTGGTCAGGGCAAGTGCAGAAGGCAACCAGTCGATGTGTTTCTCTCACATCAATGTTCCTCTCTCTCTCTCCTTCCCTTCCACTCTCTCTGAAAAGCAATGGAAAAAATATCCTCAAGTGAAAATTTAAAACAAAAAAAGGATATATACCATCTGGCCAGAGTGGCTTAGGTGGCTGAGCATTAGCCCGTGCACCAAAGGTTGCCAGTTTGATTCCTAGTCAGGGCACATACCTAGGTTGCGGGTTTGATCCCCAGTCAGGGAGCATACAGAAGGCAACCAATCAATGCTTCTCTGATCTCTCACATCGATGTTTCTCTCTCTCTTTCCCTTCCTCTCTCTAAGCATGTCCTCAGGTAAGGATTTAAAAGAATATACACCAAAATTTTAGCAATGATTAACTTTGAATTAACACACTCTACTTTATATTTAACAAATTTCCTATAAAGATAGGCATTACTTGCATTATCAGAAAGATAACATATGTTTAATGTTGTATTACCAAACTATTGGTAAACACAGTAAGATAGCTGGCTCTGTAGGGACATTTAAGATAGCGGATCTCAACCTTGAAGCATATTAAAAAATCCCAATGCCCAGGCCACATCCCAGAATAATTAAATCACAATCTGAGGGGGAGGTGAAGGAGAGCTAAGCATCAGTATTTTCTAAAGCTCCTCAATGATCCACTGTTTTCAGAGAAGAAAACATGCTCCTGGAGGAAGAAATTGTGCCTGACTCAGTTCTTTATTTTTAGAACCTGGCCCTGTGCTTGGCAGAGTGAGCACTCCATGAATGCCTGTGAACAAATGGAAAGGCAAAGTGCAAGAGGCATAAGGGACTTCCCACACAAGAAGCAGGGCACATGCGTGAAGAGCGTGGCTTACCTCAACGGCATAGCAGAAGTCAGCACCTGCTGTGACTGCCATCATTGACAAGAGTCCTGTGCCAGTGCCAATGTCGAGAACCAAGGCCTTCTGTCCTCTGTCCTTCACTCTGCTCACAGCAGCCCGGATACCCTGGTAGTATTTTATATTCTAAGAGAAAGGGAGAAATAACTATCACTTCATACTAGTTATTATAAGTAGAAAGGTGCTTTGTGAAGTTCTGGAGTCACAGTTGCCAACAGCAGTGTAAGTCACGACCTCATGGCCTTTCTGGCCCCTCAAGGAACAGCTCTGGCTGGCTGAGTTGGGCAAACCTTGTGAAACTGCCAGAGCCTTGTGTCAAACTCTTGCCCTTTATTAAGCAACTGTCTCTCCCCTCCACACCCACTCTTCTATAGTCTGTCTGCTTAGTGATGCTGGGGCTACAGCTCTGGAAACACTTTCTCCTTTTTCCAGCTGTTAGGTACAGGCGTAGAAGGAGAATCTAGAGGGTGACTGGAAGGTAGAGGGAGGGAGAAAGGCGGCTCCCTCTTGTATGGCTGCTGCTCTCATCAGTGTCCTCCCAGGTGTAGCAGCTGATTCCAGGTGCCAACTTCTGCTAGGGCTCCCATAACCAGCCTCCCGGGGCCCCTCTACGGCAGCGCTCGAACAGAGACCCCTCTAGGACATTTGAGCACCTGGCTGGACAGTGTATATCCTTTTTTTTTTAAATAATCCTCACTCGAGGATATTTTTTCCATTGCTTTTCAGAGAGAGCAGAAGGGGGAGAGGGAGGGAGGGAGAGAGAGAAAGAGAGGGAGAGAAAGAGAGAGAGGGGGAGAGGTTGATGTGAGAGAGACAGGACCTCTCCTCCAAGCTTCTAGATCTGAAAACCTCAATCTTCTCCCTTTGTTTCGCCAGCCTTAGGCAAGGTAACTGCTTCCTGCTCTTCCTATCACAAGATGACCTCAGTGATATCATCTGCTTCCCAGTCCTCCCACACTTGTGTAACCAATTCCCTCTGTTGAAATATGTAATGTGGCTTTTGGTTTCCTGGACTCTAATTCATACAGCTTCCTTATCTAAAATATGTTTTCCCCCTCAGGAAATAATTTATTTGTATCATGAAGATTTTTAGTTCTGATCTTTAGTAACTTAACAGACACATCTTCCATCTGTAAGAGTTTGGATGAATAAGCAGCCTTCTGTTGACAATAACTAAAAATCATGGGAAGATATTTGTAAATCTTTTTTTTTAAGAATAGTTTCATTTATTTTTCTTTTTTTCAGAGAGAGAGAGAGAGAGAGAGAGGAAGGGAGAAGAGAGAAATACAGATGTGAGAGCAACATCGATCGGCTGCCTCCTGCACGCCCCCTAATGGGGATTAAGCCCACACTAATGATGCTTCAGGTCATTCTCTCACAGTGCTTCCAAAAAGTAGGTAAGCTGAGCAGTTAACCAGGGCTGGATGAAGGAGACACCAACACAGTCCCATGACCAACCCTACCACATGCCCTGATCCCTCTCCTGTCTTGCACTGCTCAGTTTTTAAGCTTGGCCCTGCATCCCTCTCCTTCAAGCCTCCTAGCTTCCAAACCATGCAGATGAGATTGACGAGTCAAGCATCTGGTAGACCAGGAAATTCTGGGTTGCTAACATCTTAAGACCATAACTCAAACAGGAAAACTCAGATAAAAGAAAAATGAAAAAGGAAAGCTGAAATGTCATTCTGCAATGAAAGCCAAACCTGTTTATAAAATAGTCTGCAGTGACCTCTAGAGATTTTATTTCTAAATTACAAACTGACTATACAAGGTAAAATATCATGTAATTAGAGAATTTTATCTAGAAGAGATTATGAAGATCAGCTAGTACATTCCACTCATCTTAAATCCTAATAAACAAGGTCCACAGAGGTCCCATGTTTTCTCCAAGTTCACACTCAGGTAAAGAGCAGAGCCAGAAGTAGGACCCAGCGTCCAGACAGAATTCCCAACCACTGCACCATACTGACTCTCAACATTCTTCTGGCATCATGCCTCCAGGGGGAGTTTTTAACCTTCCTGTCATCCAAGGTTTCAAAACCCCACATCAAGATAATGGTTTTCTTTAACACTTACTCTGTCTTTGTCATGCAGCATATCAGCATAAGAAGATCTAAAAAGCAAAAAGACAGGTCAGAAACCTCTGCTCATAATAATATACATCAATATATGAGCATATTCACATACATATAAATGCATTCTTAAATCAGATGAAACAAACATCCAGGCAGATTTTAAACTATTTTAATAGAACTATGTGGACAAAAAAGGGGGGGGTTTATGGAAAGTAACCTCACAGGGGGACGTGATCATAAATTCCTAAGTTAACACACCTTTAAAATAAACCACCCTCAAGAAAGCACATAATCTTCTTAAACTATCCTATAATCCAATTCCCACCTTGCTTTTTCCCACCTCCATATAATCTTACTTCCCTCAATTTCAAATACATAGAAGCAGCCACAAAACTGTTAACTCTCTGGAGCATGTGAGATCTTGCTCCCCAGCATAAGTCGTCAGTTTGGCTCAAATAAAATCTTACAAAAATTTTCTATAGGTTTGGAATTTCATACATCGACAGTTATATGCTGTAATTCTTTGGTACTAAATAAAAAATCTCAGATAAATATTTATTTTTCAGCAAAAAAACTCAGACCTAAGAATGCTCTAGTGGTTAGCCCTGTCACAGTAACTCCAAAGCCAGTAACATGCTGATCATGTTATACACATCACAAATTTTTTTCATCAGAGTAACTCAGACTCAATTTGTCTAATACTTGACATAATCTTGCATACATTTGCACACTGGGATAATCACAGATGTAACACTAGGAAGAGGAATTGAGGGAAGGGAAAGTATATTATCTGCTATATAAGTGAGGTAGGTATGCCCAGCACTTTCTCCTATGTCATTGGGAAAAAATAAGAGTTTACCAAACTATACAGTGTTAAATGGAGGAGAACTGATTATACATGTTTTTGACCAAAGCAATTTACAAATTTGAAAACCTCTAGCAGAGTCAGGATGAGCCCCCAGAACTCAGCAGGCCAGCCCAGAGATGCTTTCTGAGAGTTCCAGGTGAGAGCTAGGGCACTCCCACTAAATATGACCTCCAGCTTCAGGTCAACATAGAATCACTGCAGAATTTATTTTATTATTTTATTTATTTTATTTTATTATTTTTATTTTATTTTATTTTAATTTTATTATTTTATTTTATTTTATTTATTTTTTTCGTTAATCCTCACCCGAGGATATTTTTTCCACTGATTTTTAGGGAGGGAGGGAGGGAGGAAAGAGAGAAACAGATGTGAGAGAGAGAGGCATTGATCGGCTGCCTCCTGCATGCCCCTAACGGGTTCAAGCCTGCAACCCAGGCGTGTGCCCTGACTAGGAATCAAACTGCGATCTCCTGGATCTCAGGTCGATGCTCAACTGCTGAGCCACGCTGGCCAGGCCACAGCCGTACTTTTGCACCACACTCCAGCACACTGAACTGCCTGCCACTCTTCTGACTTGCTCATTTGGAAATATACATACAATCCCAGTTGCTCAGAAAGCAATTTCTCTCCATTTAGATATCAACCCCCCAGCCCAGCTGGTTCTTGTATAAACTTTTGTGCCCATTTCCACTGCTTTTTATCTCTCTGTGCCGTAATTTCTGTCTGTCTCTTCCACAAAACTGCCTGTTCCTTAAGAATGAGAACCCTTTCTTCTTCGTTTTGGTAGTCACAGCTCTAGCACAGTGCTGGCATGTTGTATGCACTTAATGATTGCTAAATAACAGTAACTCACATACTTTTATTTAAACACCCCTTTAAAGAAAACAAAAGCATTTTTCAATTTTTCAAGAGAATTTAACTATATGAAGAATGTGTCACCATTCAAGTGATACAAGTTAATGATTAACTTTCATAAACTCTACTACTACTAAAGCTTGGGTCTTCTTTGCTCCATTAGGCAAATCCTCTGACTCCCCACACATGCATGACTCAGCCTAACTCCCACACAACTTACCAGGCTGAGCACACCTGCTTATGACCAACACCTGCCCAGAAGCATTGAGTAACATCCTACTGCACACTGAGACTGGATTCCAAGGCATCTGCTTTGAGATCAAGTGCCCCACCCAGAGACTGGATTCCAAGGCATCTGCTTTGAGATCAAGTGCCCCACCCAGCTGCAGCCAATCTCTGTTACCTGGCAATCTCCTGATGGTAATCATAGTGCTCATCTTCCTCTAGCCACTCCACAGATCCCGTGGTCGGATTGGCCCGCCCGCAGAAGATCTTCATGGTGCCAAACAGCTCCTCAGTTTTATCACCTGCCAGCTTACTTCTTGTGGACAGCTTCAATGGTCAGAAATCTATTCACATCATAATGCCCAAGAATGTAGAGAAACAAATGTTAAAAGACAAGAAAACAAAAGGGAAGAAAAAAAAAGAAATCAAGAACTTGACAAAAATGTCAAAGCCACTGAAAATATTTGTTAATCAGTATTTTCATTTTTTCAGCAAGAGTTACTTGGTTTTATATTCTGCATATAACATAAAAAATTCTGCATATAAAAGATAATAAAGCTATCTGGAAATTTCAACAGTCCTCAGTGATTCCAGCAGGGTCAAATGAACCTCAAGGGTACATCTAGACATAACCTCGGGTAAAGGCAGGTGAGAAAGGAAATAAAGTGGAGGAAAGGGCTAGTAGGAAAGAACAAAGATTGAGGTGCCACTAATACTACCTAAGGTGCCACCAATACTACCTAAGGGTACTAAACACTTAGTTTAAGGAAAAATAGAAGCACAGGGCAAGTCAAACAAATTAGGAAAACCTTCATCTAAACAAGTAAGTCATAGCTATACACAAACATGGATAACCCCAGGAATATAATGTTGAGCCATTTAAAAAAGCAAATCACAGAATACATACAATAAGGTTACATTTATATAAAATTTGCAATTATGCAAAACAGCATAATACATTCTTCAGGGATCACACTAAAACACATAGCAGGGAATAGGATGGTGGGCATCTCTAAGAGGGAAGGGAAAGTGATGGGTTCAAGGAGGGCCACACAGGGAACCTCAATAGTAACGATATTCTTTTACTAAAACTGGGTGGTGGAAATACAGGTGTTCATGATACTGGCATTCTTTATACCTCACTATTTTTTAGTAATAATTACTTATCTACTCAGTGTTTAAAAGCAAGCAGTTTTCAAAAACCTTGCCCTGGCCGGTGTGGCTCAATGGTTGGAGCACAGCCCTGCTCACAGAAGGGTTTTGGTTCAATTTCCAGTCAAGGTGCGTGCAGAAGGCAACCAGTCCATGTGTCTCTCTCATATCAATGTTTGTCTCTCTCTTTCCTCCTCCCTCCCTTCCACTGTCTCTGAAAAGCAGTGAAAAAAATATCCTCAGGTAAGGATTAACAAAAAAAACCAAACACCTTTCTTAATATAAAAAAATTGCTTCAAATAAAGAAAATGTCACCAAACAGATAAAATGTTTTGTATGGCCTTTTCCCTCAAAGATATCTATTTCTGAGAGACAGGAACACCACAGCTCAAAGTTTGAAGGCACTTCTCAGCAGCAATGGGCTTTCCCAATGTCCTCCCTCTTACCATTCAGAAAACAGAAAGTGTTCCACACTCCCCTTCATTTCATTTTAAACACTGATCCATCTTCAGAAAACCTGATTGTTTTTTGTGGAGGAAGTCCCCTAAATATTCCTGAGGCATTTCATTGGCCAGAGTTATTGACTTTCTCTTGAAATTATCTAGACTACGTAAATATTGAATTCTTATACAAGAGGATGGGAAACACTCTTTACTGAAAAGACTCAGTCAGTAACTAGCTTGGTTCAAAGTCCTCAATCTGTCTTTCAGCACAACTCTACTTCTAAAATCCCAGCAGATCTACTGTCTAATCTAGGGGCTCTCAAACTTCCTGACAACCCCAACAAGTAATATATTTTACCCTGAGATGTAATTACACCCACACATACATATAACAAAGTTTCACAAAGCAGTACATATTTAGCCTTGCTATGGGGCAAAGCCCTCATATATTTTATCCTATTTTCATTTTATTTATATATTTTTAAAAAATATATCCTTGTTGATTTCAGAGAGAGGAAGGGCGAGAGAGAGAAACATCACTGATCGGCTGCCTCCTGCATGCCCCCTACTGGGGATGAAGCGGCAACCAGGGCATGTGCCCTGACTGGGAATCCAACCCCGATCTCCTGGACCATAGGTCGATGCTCAACCTCTGAGCCACGCCGGCAGAACCATTTTATTTTTTAATAGACCATAATCCCCTAAATTGATTTCATAACTCTCCAATGGTTTCAACCTAGTTTGAAAACTATTGCTAAAATCAGCTCTGTACATCTCATATGCTAATATTTCTTTTTAAAAGACAAAGTATCTAGAGCTACCAGAATCTCTAATGTGTTTTAGAAAACTGTGTCCAACAAATGCTGTAGAAGAAAGAAATGACCACATCTCACTGAATGAATGAATGTTCAGCAAAGGCTTAAAAGATGGGTAGGATTTCGGTGGGGGTGGGGAGATGGCACTTCACACGAGAAAGGCTTAGACTATCATGCACAGTGGATCAGTCTGGCTGAAGTGAAACTGAACACGGAGTCAAACACGTCGGTGTGGTCCATATTGCGGAAGGTCTAGAAACCCTTATCCTGCGGAATTCCCTTTTTGTCTGTGATGTTGCTGAGGCTATAGCTAGGATCACAGTGTCTTTTCAGAATTGTAGATAAGTCATTTGTTTCATATTAATCTAAGTAAATGCTTAGGAAAGGGAACCATGTCCTGTAACCTCTCTGGGTGAGGCACTATACATCTTCCACGGCTAAGCCTCTTCATCTATTATTATAACCTGTCCTCTCCCAACAAGAGACCACACTCCAGATTCAGGAGATAGTCCGACCCCCTCCTCATTCTCCAAGAGCTGTCAACTAATGTGGCCATTTTCAGGAAGGGAACGGAAACCACTATGCCAAGCTCTGTAGCAGAGGGGAGGCTCCAGGTACGTCCTGTGAAGCAGTTCTCCGAGGAGATGCTCCACCCTCGGGCCCCGCAAGCGGCAATCACCAGAGGACTGCAGAGCCGGGGCCAGCCTGGGAGCCAAGGCCAGCCTGGAACCCGGCTCTCACGCCGGCCCAGGCGCTCCGAGCCAACCTATGCGGGCTCCAGAAAGGTCCTAGAGGGTCCCGCAGAGCTGCGTACCCCAGCGACGGGGAACGCCCACGCCAGACCGTGCAGCCAGAGCCCTGGGGCTACCTGGACGATATCAGCATCCGGGCCTCCAGATGCGATCCCACCTACCCAACATGCTCAGCGCCTCACCGGCCGTGGGTACCACTCCGTTCACTTCCGCCGCCACCGCCACATTGCCGAGGCAGACATCAGAGGGCTGGACTTTCCTATGCAGGCTGAGCGTGCCGGGGGCGGGACCCGGAAGTAGAACCTAAAGACTCTCCCGTCGCACCTCACGCGTTCCCAGAGTGCTGCGCGACAGCCGCTATGGAGGCCGGCGTTACTGCTGTACTCCGCGTGAAGCGGAAGCGCAGCGCGGAGCCCGTGGAGGCTCTTGTCCTCGCTTGTAAACGCCTCCGGAGCGATGCAGTGGAGTCCGCGGCACAAAAGACTTCTCCCGAGCGTCTGGAGAGAGCAGCAGAGAAGAATGTCTTCCAGTTGGTGGCTACCGTGCGCTCCCAGGTAGTGGGCGGGGATGGAGCCGAAGTGGAGGGGGTCTTAGGGCGCAGCTGGGATGAAACTGTATCAGTGATCCCTACCCGAACCCCTGCTTACGCCGGCCTCCCTCCCCTACTCCCCTCCAGGCGGAGCCTGTCCAGCCGCTCTTGCGGGCCGCTCTTCGCCCATCCCGGGGCAGCCAACAACGTATCCGCCGCGATCTCCGCGCGTCGGCTCGGGAGGTCCAGCAGGAGGGGCGCTACAGGGTGGTCTCTAGCCGCCGATCCTCGGGAATCCCCTCGGATGGTCTGGAGTCCGAGGACGTGCAGGGAAACCCAGAAGCCGAAGATGACGCAGGCTTCCAGCTGTTGGATCTGGTCCACGAAGAAGGAGACCCAGAGGCCGCTGCTGCCGCCAGCTCCTGCAAAGTGAGTACACGCCCGAAGGAGAGCTGGGCTTCTCCCGACAGGTAGTGCCAGGAATCTGGGCGCTAAGCACACAGTTAAGAAGATGCACACGGTTTCACCTCTTATTAATGGGTGATCCCTCCGGCTTGATAGCCTCGTTTTTACAGATTAGGTTATCCATTCAACAAGTATTTACTGAGCGCCCACTGTGTGCCAGGCATTGTTCTTAGGTTCTGTGAATATAGCAGTGAGGACCCAACGTTCACATAAGAGGAGAAAAACAAGTAAGGTCAGTGTCAGATAGTGATGTGGGCTGTAAGGGGGGGGGGAGGAGCAGGGAAAGAGTAGTTCTATTTCAGAGGTCTCACTGAAAAAAGTGACATTTGAGTGAAAACTTAAAGGAGGTGAATGGCAGGGCATTGTGGATACCTGGGGGAGGGGCATTCCAGGCTCAGGACCTGCAAACACAAAGGCTGAGGTACCAAGTTTGTCTGATGTTTTCAAGATCTGTGCCTGGAGCCCAGTGAACTGGGGAAGACGACTAATAAGGAATTTGGGGAAAGGATGTCTACTAGACCCTGTAGGTACTTCCAAGGCCCCCATTGCCTTTTCATCCTGAAATAGGGAATTACTGGAGGATTTTGAGCAAGGTATAGATAGAGCAGGTGGGAAAAATCATCAGAGGGAGGTTAAAGGACTAGTCCTGGGTAGCATATCAAGTCTGAGGCAGATTTAGGTCTAAAATGCACACTTAATCAAAGTTTAAAAAATGAAATTTTAATTCCAAATACATCAGGCAAAACATCCGGATAGCAATTTGAGCATGATGTCTACAGCCACATCTTTTACCAAAAGTAATTCCAGACTGATTAAGGAGTTAACAATCAGATCATGTTTAAAAGCAAACCAGTGTTCAGTGGAATCAAGTCAATTAAATAGCTAAATTTTACAAGAAAAACTAGTAGATAAACTGAAGGACGTGAACACGAATTTTCCCAACAATACAATGCAAACTATAAAAACATCAAAAATGTTTGCAAAGTAATTATTTAAAATACATGAATTTAAGCTGAAAGCAAACTTGAGGTTTTATGCCTACTAGGACTAGCAGAGGAAAGATAGTTGATAGCACTGCTCAAGGCTGTGATTAAAATGGTACATGACTATAGTACTTAAAATTGATGCCAGTCTTTTGGAAAACAGCATGGCTAAAAATAGCTTGGGGCATATTTTTAAAACTATTTAAATTTATTTTTATTGTTTGGACTCTAAAGCCATCCAAAATTCTACAGAAATTTAAAAATTTGTGACAGCATTTCTTTGCCCCATTACAGTGGGTTTTTCCTTAAATTGACATCATTTAAGTCTTAAGTCTTAAATTGACATCATTTAAGTCTTAATAGGAAATCTGAAAAAGTAAAAAGGTTTGTTTCATTTTATCTAGTAATCTCACCCCCAGGATTTGTCCTAGGGAAATAATTCAGCAGAAGCAAACAGCTTCTGCTATTTCTTCTAGCAGCTATGGTATTAACAAAAGCTACTGTTGATTTACTAATTGCTATACATCAACTATTGTGCTAAGTACTTGTTATATTTTCTTTTAATATAACTCATTTAATCCTCACAAAAACCCTATGAGGTAGATACTTTAGTCTTCATTTTCAAATGCAGGAAACTACACATTTATTGCAGTGTTGTACATGGAGGCTAAATATTATGTCTGAGAAACTGACTACACAATTGCCTGGACCTAATTAATAACCATGAAAACTAGCAAGATGGGAAAGTATATATTTGTGTGTGTGTCTATTTTTTTAATGGTAGAAAATGCTGTATGTAGTATAATTGGAAATATGGGTAAGCATACACAGACTAGATTTAAAAATTTCTTTTATGAAAATAATGTGTTCATTATAGGAAGTTTGAAAAAATATAGAAAAGAAATACTGCTGCATAATCTACTGTACTGAAGGCTGGGGACTTGTGAGTTGGAGCCAGAGCTTTGAGATTGGTCAAGAGTCTGCACAAAAACTGACAGCCCAGAGGGCATGGCTCAGTGGTTGAGCATTGACCTATGAACCAGGAGGTCAGGGTTTGATTACCAGTCAGGGCACATGCCTGGGTTTCGGGCTTGATCCCCAGTAGGGGGCATGCAGGAGGCAGCTGATCAATGACTCTCTCATCCTTGATGTTTTAGTCTCTCTCCCTTCCTGTCTCTGAAATCAATAAAAACATATTTTAAAAGCAAACAAAAAAACCTGAGGTCTCTAGTTCCTTTTAACTTTGGAGCAAAGAAGAATTAATTCCTTTTAGCCTATGATAGAGAGCATTGGTCTCCCCTCATCTACCTTGGCCATGGTATGTTCCCACTTCCCCATATGGTGTCTGGTTTGAGCTGCATAGCCTCCTATGATGAACCTGTCAAGAAGGGTCACTGGCAGCATGCTCCCTTGGTTTCCAAATTGACTTATGCTACCTTGAATAACAGCCGGTTGCCCCTGGAGTATATCTTACTCGGGCCAGTTCCGTTCTGGGGCAGTACATCTTGAGCTGTCCTTTCTAGCAGGAAAAGGATCATAGGGGAAGCCTATCCCGGTTGTGATTAAAAGCAAGATGTCAGTGTGGGCAAGTCGAGTGGTGATGATGGGTGGTAGTAGTCATTAGAGCCCAGGAATCATCCTTAGACCCCCTATGAGAGGCCATACAAAGTGCAAGCCCATTTAGGGGTCAGCTATAGAGGCGCTACTGTGGGCCTACAGATCCCCAAAGGGAGAACATTATACCAAAGGAGCTCAGGAAGACCTAGGGGAAGACAACAGCTCTGCTGGCTGCTCCCCCTCAGGCCAGTCTTCACATGCAGGTCTTCACACATGCTCTTGCATTACCCAAGCACATAAGAGTAGGAATCTACCTTGTAAGTTTCTATCTCAAAACAACTACACATTATGTTTTTTAGAGATACTTGGTTTTTTTAATCTCATAGATAATTAAGAAACTAGTAGGCCATGGGGATAAGAATATTGAATCTAACAGAACTGTAGGGAGGCTTCCTACACCCAACTCTTAGGTTCTTTTCCTTTGAACATCTCATGCATGTTATCTGCCATTTTCCTTACAGGTATCTAACCCAGATGTGATCCTCTGCAATTCTGTAGAGTTGATCCGTGAGCGGTTGACTATATCTGAGGATGGACCAGGTGTCGGGTACCGGGAGGAACAGAAGGATGACTATGTATATGACATTTACTACTTAGCAATGGCTACTCCAGGATGGATTGAGAATATCCTCTCTGTGCAGCCCTACAGCCAGGAGTGCGAGCTGGTAAGGGGACCCATGAGGATGAGGGGCATGAGGCAACCTGAGTGATTCTCTCATCAGGGTACTTGGCCTCCCTGGGTTCTAATCCTAATCCACATTGCTCTTAGTTCTTGCATAAGAGGAAAAATTTATTCTAAATGCCATCTAGGAACCTGAGTTTAATGCAGGGAATTTGGGAAAGAGAGCCTACATTTATAATTTTTGGTCTTAATGAATCTTTTACAAGTTTGCAACATCATCTTTATTGTTTATACCTACCCACTCTTGAGAGGAAATGTATGGAATCTTATAATAAAAAAGACAATAAAATCAGAAGTTTTAATATGAATAAAAACAAAACCTTTTTTAAAATTGTATCTCATAAGGGGGAAAATCTTAGATTAAGAAAGTAACTTCCATTTAAAAAAAAAAAAAGCTAATTTCCTGACCATCATTATTCTTAAAACACATTCTTAAATGATTAATGAGAGAAGTTAAGGTGGTACCTGTCACACTCTTACAAAGAAAGCACTTTATTCCACACCTACACTACCACCATAATCTGAATCAGGCACCCACCTTGGACCACACACAGGCCCTCCTTTTGCCTTCCTGCACCCCTCACACTTGGGTTTTGGTTCTGATTTTTGGCATCACCCATAATGCATATAACCCCTCTCCCAAATGGCTGCCCTCTGGCAGTTTAAAGATCACTGCCATCACCTGTCAGCTGTCTCTCCTCCCCACCCTGGGGCATTCCTTTTAGTGGAGTTCAGTCTATCCCACCAGGAATGTGGTGCCTGGAGCTGGACTTGAGTAGAGGGCCAATATCTCCCTCTTATAGCCTAAGTGTATAGCCTCTTGTGCAGCAGAGTCAAACTAATTCCAAGGCTGCCTCTTTGAGCACCCTTAAATGACATCTCTCCAAGTTAGTTTGCTATTAGCTTCCCCCAGAGCATAACCTTAGATGTTTTGACTTATATTCATGTTTGTGTTGAGATGTGCAGGTGAATGATGACCAACAAACAGAGGACAATTATGAAGATGAAGATGATGAGAATAGTGAGAATAATTGGCGCAATGAGTATCCAGAGGAGGAGAGCAGTGAAGGAGATGAAGATTCCAGAGGTAGGCGGGTGGCAGCCTTGGTGGG